TGTAAACGAGTTTCCAGGGATGAAAATCGGGCATTTACCAGAATTACAAGAAAATCCCTACAAACCTCTATGTTCTTGGCATGGGCCAAAAATTTCCAGGGAATTCCAAGCTATTGCAACATGCTCCAATGCATCCTTACTGCCAGGTGCGTGGGTGGCCTAGCTGCTTGGATCGCTTACCGTAGTTCATATTCTACTGCCATTGTAGAAGGTTGTTCCCTCGCTAACTGCTGATTCTGCATACAATTTGTGTTGTAAAATACAGTACATTACTGTACCGGGACACAATCAGCCAAGAATTCAGTGTTAAAGCAGTGTTAAGATGTAAAGAGTGATTACAGTTTCATAAAACTGTACTGTACATAAAGAAGAGTGGATACACTGTATGCCTACTGTAGGCTCAAGATGACAGCATCTACTGGTGAGTACAGTAATGGACAGTATAGTAGTAGTATATATTATTTTGTTTATATACAATATATTGTATGTGTACAGTGGTGTTTGCGTAAATAAATACAGCTCCATGCGAGGTGCTAGTTTAGACTCTGGGAAAACTTTCCCCAATTCACGGTGGAAAACTCCAGTCTTGGCTGTAACACAACTCCATTCATGCCTCGTGCACACTCACACACACACACCTAAAGTATATATGAAAAAAAAACTGTTAGATAAACTATTCAGGGTTATTTTAGTAAAAATAAACAAAATTCTTATTTGATTAAAAGTGATTTATTTTATTTTATAGATTCTGGCATCTTAGTTTTTTAGTTTAACAAATTTATTGGCAGAGCTTGTAGTACAGTTTGCCTATTCTGAGTAATTCAGTCAGGTCTTGACACTGAGGGTGGTATCACTTCTCACTGTCACGCAGGACAGAGGTTCACACACAAAGAAATACATCATATTCATTAACAACTATAAATGTATATAGGTCAGGTTCATATGGATAATGTCACTGTTCACTGCCATGCAGGACAGAGGTTCGTACACAAAGAGTTGCATCATATTCATTGACAGTACATATACATATATGTAAACACACACACACACACATATACATACATATACGTATATACATACACATATACATGTACACGTACATATACATGCACACACGCACACATACATACATATACGTCGGTCAGATTCATGTGGGTAATGTCACTTTTCACTGCCATACAGGACAGAGGTTCGTACACAAAGAATGCATCATATTCATTGACACTATATATAGGTCAGATTCATGTGGGTAATGCCACTGTTCACTGCCACGCAGGACAGAGGTTCGTACACAAAGAAGGAAATGCATCACATTCACCAGCAGCATATATAGGTCAGTGGATCACATACATTGGAGTCATATTCTAATTGAAGACTTTTTACTTTTTTTTTTACTTTTATCCTCTTCGCCACTGATCGGCTTGTTAGCCGCTTGGGCGATTGGTCACGTCTCTTTTCCTTTATATTCTTCACCAAAAGGTCGGCTCGCTAGCCGCCCGGGCGATCGGTCACGTCTCTGTCACGCACTGTTGGCAAATACTGGGCATGCACCGGCTCCTGAATGTACCTGAACCCGCTCCAGTGTTGGTCAAGTCTTCTCTTGAAAGAGCTCACACTCGGTGCCGTCACAACACTTTCTGGTAGATTGTTCCAAGAGTTTACAACCCTCACTCCGAAAAAGTTTGCCCTCACGGTTTTCCGGACTTGCGGCTTCTTCAATCTTGAGCTGTGACCCCTTGTGGGGCGAGCGTCCGCCAGCTCCAAGTAAGGACACTCAACTGAGTAGTGCCCCCTGAGATGCTTATAAACCTCAACTAGGTCCCCCCTTGCCCGTCTGTAGTATAAGCTAGGCAAGTTCAGGCGCTCCAATCTCTCAGGGTAGCTGAGATGCCGAAGTGCAGGCACCAGTTTGGTGGCCCTCCTTTGAACATTTTCAACCAACTGACAGTCCCTAGCATATCTCGGGGACCAGATGGGGTGACAGTACTCCAGATGGGGAAGCACTTCACTCCTGAAGATCGTCACGAGGGACGGACCGTCTAGATATCTGAACGACCTTCTTATAAGACCCAATAATTTATTTGCCTGATTTACCTTCTTCTCACAATGGCCCGAGAACTTCAGCTCATTGTCAACATACACACCTAGGTCCTTCTCACACACAGTCTCAACTAGTACATTTTCTTCATCCCGTTGGGACATATGGTACGCCTCCTTACCGTTGGTACGCCCCAGGTGCATCCTCTTACACTTCGTGACATTGAATCTCTGCAGCCATTCCTTCGACCATTCCTGGAGCCCACAGAGGTCCTTCTGCAGCTCTTCACAGTCCGCTTGGTTCTTAATTTCCCGAAATAACTTGGCGTCATCGGCAAACATTTGTATGGAGGAGTGTACAACGTCAGGCATATCATTTATGAAACAAACAAACAACAGCGGGCCCAATACACTACCCTGCGGTACCCCACTTGTTACAGGTACAGATGACGATTTCGTGCCATTAATCACCACACATTGCTTGCGGTCATGTAGAAAGTCTTCTATCCACGCTAGGACATTTCCCCGAATTCCGTACCCTTCCAGTTTGATTTTCAGCCTTTCGTGGGGTACACTGTCGAAAGCCTTGGCAAAATCTAGGTAAATATTGTCGATATTACCACCCCGTTCTAGAATATGGGTCCAAATATCCAATACCTTGAGCAATTGTGTCAAGCAAGAGCGCCCCGGCATAAAACCGTGTTGGCAATCTTTTACAAGGTTGTTTCGTAGTAGATGTTCCATCGCTGCATCTCTGATAATACTCTCAAGTACTTTACATATTATGCTGGTCAGGCTCACCGGTCTATAGTTGTTCGTGGAGTGCCTATCGCCCTTCTTGAAGATAGGACTCACATAAGCCACTTTCCATTCACTGGGGACCATTTGTTCATCCAGGCATTTACAAAACAGAATCTTCAGGGGCTCTGCAAGCTCGTTGCACAGCTCCCTTAGCACTCTAGGATGCACCATGTCAGGTCCAGGACTCTTATGGACCTTTAGCCTGGACAGTTTATTTCTAATACCCTCTTCTGTGAACACAATGTGGGTCAGTGCTGTGTCGAACCGTCTGTCCTCAAACGCAGGAAGGTTAGTTGCATCCTCTCTTGTGAACACTGAGGAAAAGAAGCTGTTCAATGCCTCAGCTTTATCCTGGTCAGAATCTGCGTAACTACCATCTTCAAGCCTCAGGTCTGATACTCCTACTCGCGTTTTCAATTTCGATTTTGCATAGCGGTAAAACGCCTTTGGGTTTGACTTGACCTCGCGTGCAACCAGCCTTTGGAACTCCTTTTCAGCCCTCCTACACTCTATCTTTGCTTGGTTTCTGGCTCTTGCATACATCCTCCTGTCTTGCTCAAATGAACAAACAGAGCATTGGATTCCTGGCCTGGCCTGGCCTAACACTATATTTATGTTGTTTAAGTCTAGTTACAAGATCTTTACCTGTATGACCCAAGTAAAACATATTACGTACATTCCTTGCAAAGAACCTTATAAATGCAGCCACCTGTATTGTTGGGGGAGTTCTTAATTAACATTTGTTTAACAGTGCATGAGTTTTTAAATGCCACACTGACGTTCCAGGTTTTTAGTTGTAAAGGAATTTGAGAGAAATTTTTGTGAAATGGTAATACTAAGAGATTCTTATGGTCATGGGAACTTCGTGTTTTCTTCTTTCCTTGTGGTTATCAGCATATATATATATATATATATATATATATATATATATATATATATATATATATATATATATATATATATATATATATATATATATATATATATATATATATATATATATATATATATATATCCCTTTAGTACATCTTATGGTTGTTGTAGTTAATAATAAACATTCTTGTACTAAATAATTATATATTTGTAGTTTATAATGCTAGCCAAAATTTGTTTTCCTTCTACTGTATCACAATGTCTAGTTTACTAAACAATAGTACAGTATCTCAATGTATACCTGTAGTCTAATATGATCACCTGACAACATGGAACCAGAGTAGCCTGTCAGGGTTACATATTACTGCTGTTATTGTAAATTTTGCTTTCAATAAGTAATATTTTCAGATTCATTAAGAGTCGTACACGGTAAATAATATAATAAAAATAGATAAGATTATAGTAATTATTATGCTTATTTAAAATTGCATTCTTTTAGTTTAAACAACACTAAAGTCGCCGTTACATGATCCGGTTTTGGTAAGGAAAACAAAGCACCAGACATCAACAAGAGGACCAACAGCTAGGTGCTCAAAAACGGTCCGACTGATTACCCAAATGTAGCCGCAATGAAGTTAAATAATGGTCCTACATGAATAAATCGGACTGCTAATCACTTCTCGACTAGTATTTGGTGTCACAAAGTCACAAAAAATTGGTAAACTTAATTTAATCTGAGTTGTGTTGTGTTAGGTTAGGTACATGCACTCGATCTATTAACTCAGATTAAATTAAGTTTACCAATTTTTTGTGACTGCGTAACACCAAATACTAGTCGAGGTTAGGTTAGGTTAGGTTAGGTACATGCACGCGATCTATTAACTCAGATTAAATTAAGTTTACCAATTTTTTGTGAGTTCGTGACACCAATTACCAGTCGAGAAGTGATTGGAAAAACTGCCTTGGCCAAAGTTGGCAGCTGCTTATTTCCAGGAGGGTCTTTATCAATTAGCGACCTGTATGTATGTTTTAACTAATCTGCACTAAATGTTTGGATAATATCAACCAACATGGGTGGCGGAATACTGAAATACCGTTATTTGATAAAAAATTACTTCAATTAATTTAATCAAAATTATATTACAAATACATAGAAATCATCATTTGCAATCTTATCAAATGTAAATGAAATATGGACATAGTCATTAAGAATCCTTAACAAAGTAACTTACATGGTTGTGGTGATTCAGAGTTATTCTCGGTTTGGTGGTGGGATTAAAATTGATTAAAAAAATGAATCATTTTTATTACTGCTTACATGAGTGATTCATTTGGATGGTGGAAGACTCAAAAAGATTCACATAGTTTATGATGAGTGACTTACTTACTTTTATATGACTGAATGTGGACTACTATAGACTCACTGCAGGGTCACTGGATTCGGTAAAGTTATGAGTAAAGTAGAAGATAAATTTTGAGTGGCAGGTGTTAACGTAGGTTTGAACCATCTATTCTAGATTCTAACATTGACTGACTTATTCGTCGCGTTTCGTTGCCTGCGAAGGTCTCCGCTAAGGTTCTGGTCAAATCGAAATGACGGGTGGAACATTCGGCGTGGAAGTCGTCAGTATCAATCGTCCACACCATCAGGCCAGCAAGATTTTTTTCCCTAGCGTAATTGGCCTGCAAACACACCGTTGATATTAGCCACACAATACCAACACCAAACACTTTTGACGTATGAGAAAAGTTTGTCATATTGGTTTTATAATTACAACAGAAATGCTGCATCAAATTCTCTTACTTAACATATAAATGCAGAAAGAATTCATGAATAACTGTAATGCTTCTTGTCTGCCAGAAACCTATACGTGAATATTATAAAGAGAGTTTAGTGTTTAGTTCAGCAAAGTGTTAGTCTTATGTATTTGCCAGTATGTTATTCTCTACTATTGCTGGACTTAACAACACCTCACCTTGATAACACAAGAATCGTGGTCTTCATATGAACACCAGATATTGCCGTAGGCCATGTTATAGGTGTAAGGTTCATTACACCCTTCCTCCACTACCACAGTCCAGCTATCTTTGTTTATAAAATCGCAGATCTGGAGGACAAAAACATTAGACCATCAGTGTCGGAGAAATTGTACAACATGAGTGATGGAAATTCACACACACAACACTCCCGTTTACTACATCCTTGACCACCGAAGGGTCAAGACGTACCTGGCGCTCCTCTCGGAGCAGCCAGGTCAACTGTTAAGTTGGCCCATACCAACCCCCTCCCCTGAACCCACCTCCCCACCGGAATATCAACAAGTTCTCGCCAGAAGTTACAATTTCATTTAGGAAAGGAACGGAACCAGTGTTAAACAGAGGTGAACAGTGGTGAACAGTGCTGAAGTCAGTGAGAACAACTCAACAGTAACAGTCGTACCCTAGTTAACCTTCACACAGTGAGGTCCCAGGTACCCAGTGATAATGGCCCGCGAGACCCAACAACAACCACCGATGTGTTAATCCGTCTACGATAGGAAGGCCTGGGACCAAACCTCACTCATATAACACCATCTGTGATGGAATTACTACACCACATGTCCCTCATAACACCATATGTGAGGGAATTACTACACCACGTCAAGTCCCTCATCACACCATCTGTGAGGGAATTACTACACCACGTCAGGCCCCTCATAACACCATCTGTGAGGGAACTACTACACCACGTGATGCCCCTCATAACACCATCTGTGAGGGAGTTACTACACCACGTGAGGCCCCTCATAACACCATCTGTGAGGTAATTACTACACCACGTGAGGTCCCTCATAACACCATCTGTGAGGGAATTACTACACCACGTGAGGCCCCTCATAACACCATCTGCGAGGGAATTACTACACCACGCCAGGTCCCTCATAACACCATCTGAGGGAACTACTACACCACGTGAGTTCCTCCTAACACCATCTGGGAGGGAGTTACTACACTACGAGTTTGCTGTTCAACACCTACATTAATCTGTATGTTCACTGTATGTTCCTTTACCTTTCTCTAATGAAGGCTTTTGTTAAACCACCAATGTATGTAATAAGTCATTTATGTCCAATGTATATTTTCAGCCTTCGGGCTGCAGAATTTTTTCAATAAACCGTTAATTATTATTATTATTAAAAGTGTAAGAGTATTATAGTCAGTATAAACATAACATCTAATGACACAGTTTACCTCATTGTACCCCATCATGCCCTCGGTCTGTGTTAATGGTCCTGCTTTTCCCGGGTGGCTTGCTCGGGCATTGTAGCCGTGCTGATCAGGATTATCCAAGGTCCAGCAGCGGCCGTACAGAGGCATACCCAGTGTTAGCTTGGTACTCGGCATTCCTCCGTCTATCCAGTAGTTGATGGAGAAGTTCTGCATCAAAGTTCCAATTAGAGTTTTATTTGATAATCGACCAACATATAATTTGTGTGACGTAGTTTTAATAAACATTACTACGCTTCAGGCAAAGTTTTATATGTGACAAGTCATCTTTCCCGACAACAAGCTGAATGTTGTACCTGATTGAGATAAAGAGTATCGCCATGGTCATCTTTGTAAGCATAGAGGGTAGACTGATGATGTGTGTACTTTTCCCAAGGCCCGTGTAGGTCATATGTCATCACGTTCACCAGGTCCACCACATCCACCATGGCGGGGATGTCGTAGGCCTGGTCAATAGTGCTCTTCAAAGCAGCCACAGCCACTGTTAGTATCATACCGCTGGCGTGCAGCGCCTCGTGCAACTTGCCCAGCAAGGTGATGAAATTCTTCTGCAAAACAGAGTAATAGTCGGTCTTCACTAATATGATCTTGCAAATGTGAGAAGAGTGGTAATTTTTTTGTTTTGGTTTTTAATGCCTGTGAGTCCTACGACATTTTCAGGAAGTGGTCCTACTGCAGTAAGTACAAGTTAGCTATACAATTCTTCCTCAGGCCCGTGTGGAAATGATCATAAGGCCTTGTATGAGTCAGTGACATTAATTATCTTCCAGCGACAGTCATGTATAGAGTTAATAGCATGGCAAAATCAAGGTAATTTTTATTAAATTTAGTTTAATATTATCTAAGCAGTTTTATAGTAAGTATATTTAGAAGGATAAATCACTATGAGACAGATATTAATTTTCTTGTGTCGGTTACTAAGTGGCACATAGAGGTTAAATCTTAGGAGGTCTTTACCGGGTATGATGAATATTATGAGACAAACACAACCAAACCTTGGAGAAGGTTTACAGCAGCTGTAATATCTAGGCTTGGAAACCAGGTTAGGTTAAGTAGATAACAAAGTGACTCACTCGGTCTGCAGGAACTCCACCTCGTTGGGTTGGATACTCCCAGATGAGATCCAGACCGTCGAAGCCGTGTGCCTTTAACAGTTCTACGGTAGAGGTGACAAATATCTGTGTCTTGGCAGGATCGGCGGCCATCTGCAGAGAATCATAGAGAATAACTCGACCACATAGGTATAACGTGTCTAGTATTTGAACTCCACCTTTTCCTACTTTAGTTTATTACTTTGTATGATGTGGTTTTATCTAAGGTTTAGTTTCACCATAAAATAAATACATAAGTAATTTAAATGTAAAGAAATTATCTAGAGACGCACATTGGAGTATGATGTGGAGCCCTCGTTATAGCCACCAACGGACAGCTGGGTGATCAGTTTGGGGTTCACCTTCTTGAGGTCAGTGAATCTGTTATAGCCACATTTGCCCCAGTTGGCACACAGGTCGTTCCATGGGTCCAGAACCTGCAAAATGAATCATCAATTGTTCAGTTACATTAAATTGCCTTTAATATCTTTAAAGAATACCCGGTAGTGTTTTAAACGTGTAAAATTGACAACTCAAATGCAAAGGCAAATAAATAAAAGCCACTGATTTATCATGAGTGGTCGTTCTTTTTGGGAATGGCTACCTGGAAGATTGATACTCCTAAGTAGTAATCATCAGCGTCAATACCGAGTTATTTATGAACTAGTTGTTGCTCACCTCGATCTTGTTGTCAGTGCCAATTCCGGCAAAGGTATAGACAACATGGGTGCAGATGTTCGGGTCGATGTCCTCTACTTCAAACTTGCCGTCTCTGACACGGTAGGTGGCCCACGATGCGTAGTAGCACACCATTACGCTCTCTACACAATGAAAATAGATAATTGTTCTGATAGACACGAGTTCTTAAAGGTTAGGTTATGAGTTGGGCCGAATGGAAGTGTCAGTGGGGACTCGGTATGTAACTGTCAGGGACGCTGTGTCAGTGGGGACTCGGTATGTAACTGTCAGGGACGCTGTGTCAGTGGGGACTCGGTATGTAACTGTCAGGGACGCTGGGTCAGTGGGGACTCGGTATGTAACTGTCAGGGACGCTGTGTCAGTGGGGACTCGGTATGTAACTGTAGGGGACTCGGTATGTAACTGTAGGGGACTCGGTATGTAACTGTAGGGACGCTGTGTCAGTGGGGACTCGGTATGTAACTGTAGGGGACTCGGTATGTAACTGTCAGGGACGCTGTGTCAGTGGGGACTCGGTATGTAACTGTCAGGGACGCTGTGTCAGTGGGGACTCAGTATGTAACTGTAGGGGACTCGGTATGTAAATGTCAGGGACGCTGGGTCAGTGGGGACTCGGTATGTAACTGTCAGGGACGCTGTGTCCGTGGGGACTCGGTATGTAACTGTAGGGGACTCGGTATGTAAATGTCAGGGACGCTGGGTCAGTGGGGACTCAGTATGTAACTGTAAGGGACGCTGTTGGGTATAAAAACACATACAGTACTGTCACACAATATTACAAGTGCATGAGTATGTAGATGTATCTTTTGTATCGATTTCAAATATATCACCGTTAAAGTTGGCTTGTTCTGTGCTCTCGGGGAATTAAATAGGGCATTGTGAACCAATGTGGAGACATAGGGATTCATTTTGTGTACTGAGTATGCATGCTGAGGATATTAGGAAGTGTGTGTAGAGTACAGTATTCCTATATGTAATTTCAGCCCTCTCTTCTCGGCTTCTCCACTTGTCTTAATTAACTGTCCGCTACCGTTTCCTCTCCTTCTTTGATATATATATATATATATATATATATATATATATATATATATATATATATATATATATATATATATATATATATATATATATATATATATATATATATATATATATATATATATATATATATATATATATATATATATATATATATATATATATATATATATATATATATATATATATATATATATATATAATTATTTCATGTAGATCCACAATGAAAACGTGGATAAGATAAATCTTGATAAAATCACACGGGAAAAGGGAAACAACGGAGCACCTTAGCTTTCGTCTTTATTCAAGACATCTTCAGAGGCAACTGGATTACATGGACAGAGAGAGGCTTAAATATACAGGGTGACCTTATTAAACATGAGGTCACGTTATAATGATGTCATCCACTAATCCCCACACCAACACCAACACACACGTAGAGGAGCTTAAGAGAAGGGGGCGACGTGAGAACATAAGAACATAAGAATTGAGGAAACTGCAGCGGGCCTATTGGCTCATACTGGGCAGTCCCGTTTACACCCAACCCCTATTGCTCATATAAGCATCCAACCGATGTTTGAAGCTATTCAGCGTATTCGAGTTAATGATGATAATTGGTAACTTGTTCCATTCATCCACTACTCTGTTTCCAAACCAGTGTTTACCTATTTCACGCCTAAATCTAAATTTGTCTAATTTAAAACCATTGTTAGAAGTTCGCTCCTGGTTGGATAGTTTGAGTACCATTGTAATGTCCCCTTTGTTTAGCCCTGACTTCCACTTATACACCTCTATCAGGTCGCCCCTCGCTCTACGTCTCTCCAGGGAGTGCAAATTAAGATGCTTTAACCTGTCTCTGTACTCAAGGTTCCTAATGCCAGGGATTAGTCTTGTCATTCTCCTCTGAATTCTTTCCAATGATTCTATATCCATTCTGTAATACGGTGACCAGAACTGAACTGCGTAATCCAGGTGTGGTCTCACAAGCCCAAGATACAGTTTTAGGATGACCTCGCTAGTCTTGTAACTAACACTCCTTTGTATGAACCCAAGTAGTTTATTAGCCTTGTTACGAGCAAAAACACATTGTTTACTTGGCTTAAGGTTCCTGCTTATCATTACTCCTAAATCTCTCTCGCAGTCGGATTTCTCTATGGCATCGTTGTTCATCTGGTATCTGGTTTCCCTGTTTACATCTCCTATACTGAGTACTTTACATTTGTCCACTTTGAATTTCATCTGCCATTTTTCAGACCATTCGAAAAATTTGTTTAGATCTTCCTGTAGTTTCGTGGAGTCCTCGTCAGATTTAATAACACGTCCTATTTTAGTGTCATCAGCAAATTTACTAATGTTGCTGTCTATGCCGATATCTATGTCGTTTATGTATATAATAAATAATAATGGTCCAAGTACTGAGCCTTGGGGAACTCCACTTGTGACTTTGCTCCAATGGGACTTAGTGCCGTTAATGCTCACTCGCTGTTTCCTGTCCTGTAACCACGCCCTAATCCATTTAAGGATGTTACCTTTGATGCCATGTGGTTTTACCTTTCTAATTAGTCTTTCGTGGGGGACTCTGTCGAAGGCTTTGCTAAAGTCTAGATATACCACGCCCCTCGTCCACCGATTCGAAAACTGATGAAAAGAATGTTAATAGATTAGTTAGACAAGAACGTCCGCTTGTGAAGCTATGCTGGGAATCATTGATCAATCGGTGCTTCTCCGGGTGATTTCGAATAAGACTAGTCAGGTCAGGTCACAAATAAGGGACCCACTAAATAACTATCCTACATCTAGATCCAAGGTTTTCAAAGCATTTTTAACCTTGTCAGTGGCCCAAGGTTAAAAATGCTTGAATAAAGACGAAAGCTAAGGTGCTCCGTTGTTTCCCTTTTCCCGTGTGATTTTATCAATATATATATATATATATATATATATATATATATATATATATATATATATATATATATATACCTCTCTTTAAACAAACTCGGTGAGTGTTATATCGGCACATGTCTGATTTCTTCCGCTTTTTATCTAGCAAAACCAAAGCAACGCGTAACTATAGAGTTCTACAGAATGTAATATAGACAAGATGATGTTAGAGCGAGTCTTGCCTGTGACAGAGAGCGTGATGGTGAGGAGAGAAAGCACAGTAAGCAGCTTCATTGTAGCTGTTCCTCCTCCACAAGTGGTGCTCATGATAGAGGTATTTTTACTTTTATACAACAAGAGTTACTCAGAGAATGTGAGTGCGCAAGCGCAGACACAGAGCAGGTCGTCACCGATACTTGACTGTCAGCTGCACCTATCTCAGCACACCTCGCTATCGCTACACAGAATATTTTAATTTCCTCTCATCTTTTTCTTTTATTATCGACCATTGACTTGTACTTTAGTACCTAGAATAAACTTCTTGTGAACATTTTCCTTTTCTGAACAATTTTGTTCACTAGAATTAATCATCTATCAGTGAAATGCGCCTGAGTAAGTACAGTCAAAATCAAAAGTTCGCTGAAAATCACCTGCCAGCCTTACGTTTCTGTTCCTAACACACAAATAGCGCTCGAGTGGAAAGGAAGAAGAGAAATTAAAGAATATCACTATCAGAAAAGAGGATGTTCTTAAGAGGATAAATAAACTAAAGAAGACAAAATCCCCAGGGCCGGACGAAATTTTCCCTCGAGTCTTGAAAGAGTGTAGGGAACAGATTAGCGGACCCCTTGTAAATTTATTTACAAAATCATTGGACACCGGAGTTGTGTCAGACTTGTGGAAACAGGCAAATGTAGTACCCATATTCAAAATGGGAGACAGAGCATCAGCGTCAAATTACCGGCCGATCAGTTTGACGTCAGTAGTGGGGAAATTTCTTAAATCAATTATAGCAGATAGCATCTAATCGCATCTAGAGAAAAGCAAATAAATCTACGACTCTCAACATGGGTTTACAAAGGGAAAATTTTGTCTGACAAATCTGCTTTTTTATTTCTTTTTTACAGGGATTAGCCCACCCGGGCACAGGTCACTGACCCACATCAGATCCTGAGGGCCTCAAAACTAATAGTAATAACAATAATAATAATAATGTGTTCATAGTAAATAAAATTAATAATAAAAAATTTAAAATTTTTAATAAATTAATAATAACCATAAAAATAATAACAACAACACTAATAATAATTTAATAATAGTAATAATAATAATAATAATAATAATAATAATAATAATAATAATAAAGAAATATAAAACTGAAAAAAGATCATTAGTGAGAAACGATATATGTATGTTGTGTTGTCAAAGCAGGAGAAACAATTGAGATCCTGCAATTGTGTGTAAAGGAGGCAGAAAGTCAGATCAGCAACCTGGGACTTAGTCACAATTTTAGTGATGCCATATAGCAGCAGGGTCTACCATTAGACAACACATTATGCTTCCAATATCTTCCCAGGCGGTAGTACCTCCCTGTTTGATAGCTGCCAACTTCCAATTACCTAAGATTGCTACCTTAATGTATTCAACCTATATCCCTAATCGGGAATTGAACCCAGGACTACGTAATTAGAGACCCAGGTGATAACCATTCGGCTGCCAGCTGTTAAAAGTTCCCCCCTAGCGTGTGGAAACTTCTTACTGCCACTGCATGACAACCACTGCTGCCAAATAAGGTATAGATGAGACGTAACTCCGGGCACTTGAGTTCTGTGTTGTGGAAATCCTTTAATCAATCCTATCATATTTGTGGTAGTCTGGTCCTTCACTAGGGTGGATATGAGCCAACTTTACCCCCCAAAGCTCTTACACTCACTTTTCTATTTCCTCATACTCTTCAGCCTTCTGGCGAGGAAAGACATTGGGCTTCCTTCTAACAGAATTTCATTCCTTGCCCTAGAAGAACAATGAGCAAACACTATAAAAGATATTTGGGACCTCGTGTAAGATGAGCTTCACCTAAAGGTCCAACCACATTGCCTCCCTTCCTTACAGACAGAGCGCCACCAAGAGCAAGCAGTAATTCAAAGTAGGAATCTGCAGTGTAAGGATATGAAGGTGGCAATTGTATGAAAGTCTTTTGGGTAGGAGAAAAGGTTCGGTGGAATACTGTTAGAGAGTTGGAAAGTTGTGGGTAGTGTTAGATAGAAACCGTTAGTAAGGTTAAAAGTTTCATCGAGGACTTAGCAATGGTTCGAGTTTGTGAACCATAAGAACAGGGATGAAAGATAATAGTAGAGATGTCAATGGGTGGAGCTGAAGGTAGGAGGACCAGGTGAAACCAGCGATTGAGATAAATTAGTTTAAATGCTGAACCCCAGAAGAATACAAAAATGAGGCTGTAACCATTCCATCACTCTTACTCCATGGAGTGTTTCGTTTGTTTAACAAGTGACTGTGTAAGCCAAGGATCCCCTGAACCCAAGCGTCGTCATATATTATCTTCCCTCATTATTTTAGCATAAACGTTGTTGCTGACAGGGAAGGCTCGTACTTGTCACCAAATAAGGATCTCAAGGCGTAGGAGAATGACACGAGTACTCAGAAAGCCAGGTTTGTTACAAACTTGTACACAATCAGTATGTAACCAACAAAATATTTTTTTTCATAATTACGACAGTAGTATAGTGCCACTAGTTTTTAGGAAATAAATAGCGTTACTTATTGACCCGGCTATTTGATTAACATGAACAATTACCTCTTGATATGGAGTGAGGAAATATAACCTGTCAATTACTTACATCCTTCCAGGCCATTATACTGTTCAGAGAAAATGGTCCACGTGCTCGAGTTGATGGCTGCCTCAAATATTGAACTACAGCATTCAGATTCGTCAACAGTTCAGTTGTAGATTGCAGTTTTAGAGTTGCTGACCGTCAACACCTGCATGATTATGGCCGGACAAATCTTGTCTCTCCTTTCTTCTTGTAGTGGCTGTCTCCTGGTAGAGTCAGTAATGGCCCTTGGTCGGTTGGTTAAAATTTTTGTAACTCTTATGTTTCAGACGTTGTCATCATCCTTTCTTTATAAGAGGAGGAAGGTGTTTTATCTAATACATTAGACTCGCCTCTACGACGGGAGGACATACTTCCTAAAGTGCAAAGTTTCCTCCTCTCTCTAAGCCTAAGGATTGGGGCTACCAATGGGAGATAAGGATGGGGTGTTGAAACACCTTACACCTACACAAAACTAACCTAACCCTAACTAGAAAAACTGGGCCATTGATTTGGTAAACAAGTGTCTGATAGAGGGCCTTTACTCCATCCCACCCAGCGGTAGGAGGGGTATATATACAGTACTATACTGTATACTAGCCCACATATATACCTACTACCCCATCCAGTGGTGGAGGATAACCATCACTCACCCCCTTATACCCATGAAGAAAGAAGATGAACAGTTGCCAGAGAATTATTTTATTCCGTATTTCAATAATTAGTCATTTGTACATGAGTATTAGGACTGTAACCACGCCAACAGGTCATTTATGTGGCTGAGAAGCGTCAGCTGGACATCCTGGGCCCTGTCGTTCCCTCCCATCAACCCTTTATCTTCTGAAACTTCATTATTATTATTATTGTTGTTGTTACCATATTTAATTATTATTGTTATTATTAATGTTTTTTATTAATATTATTAGTAGTAGTAGTAGCAGTAATATTATTATTATTATTATTATTATTATTATCCTTTTAATGAATACTGTAACCCATTGAGGTCTATTTTTTTACTGTATTACTATGTAATTTTTCTAAAATAGTATCTACTGCGTCTATATCATTATATTTTTTTTTTGGTTTTAATTAATCTAAAGTCCTTAACTATGTTCTTTGTAATAATTTTCTGTAACAATCCTGGGCAAGGTTTTTCAGATAGGATAGTTTTTAACAAAATTATCCTTTAAACCAGTTATCATGTGATCAGGCTAGAGCCTTGTCAGTGATCCCCATCCAATCAACTGTTTAAATAATAATAAAAGAAAATGTCCTCTGGATAATACCAGAACTTGGCAGCACCGAACTGAGTGAATGTATTAAAGAGGCAGCGTCACTGATGGACATCTTACCTAATGCCTAAATACCTCACGTAACAATAACCCTTTAAGGAAGTATAGTGTCGCACATAGGCGTTTTTTAGGGCTAACGTTACGTAATTTTGTTCAACTGAGAGAAACTCCGACCACGCAATCGGTTAATAACGGACTGTTCCGTGATATCATTATTTCTAAGTGATGGTCAGTGTTCTTTCCTTACAGTTCTATGCTCCTAACTCGAACCTCTTCTCTCATTTGAATCTTGAGATTACTGAAATTCGACCCTCAAAGTTAAAACTAAGAATGTCAAGCAAAAACTGGCTATAATTACAATAAACTTTAACAGGACTCCCGCAGCGTATTGAACTTTCCCCATGAAAGTAATAAATTATTCAGAGTAGCTTCCATAGTCGACGTTTTACTGTCACTAGGTCTTTATGTCCTTATTAATGTATGTAATCCGTTAGTATAATCACTAACTTCAATGGCAAACCTCATTTATAATTGTTTTTTAAATTGTTAAAGCTTTACACAGTTTGGCATGGATCCATACTCGTAAATTACCCTCTTTTGGTCATTCCTACTTAGTCCCCTTAATTACTTTCATCATGTATAAGGTTGGATTGTGTGCACTTCTGGACTATCTTGTATCCAACTTCAACTAATAATTCCGAGGTTCCTCAGAAATATGACTACAGAGTGTTATCTTTTTTCTTTCTTTTTTCTATTGTTGTTGGACTAGTGTATTGATAACCTTGTCACGCGCTTAAAGACCTTCGTTGTTGAAACGCAGTAATAACAATATAACAGAAACAACCTCGGAATTGCAAACTCCCTCCATCTGTGTCTTATTATATATAAACGAACATTATCAGCGACTGAAACAAAAACAGCTAAATCAGTAAAGACAATTCACCCATTCCATAGAAATTATACTGTACAGTCACAATCCAAAGTTTCGACACCCCCCTGGCTGGGTGTTCGCCGAGGCCAGAGTTGAGGTAAGGCTGGGTGATCGGACTCACAGCACACGAACACAGGGAGGAGCTTATTACGAACTTTGACATAGCATGAACTTGCAAAACAAATACATTCAGAGCATTGTTGCCACACATAACAATAACATGTTAAGATTGGAGCATGAAAAACTTTGCCCGGTCCCAAAACACTGGCTTGGAACCACTAGATGCGAGTCCTCGTATTACACATGAATCATCAGGGCAGCATATAATAAAGGGACTTATTCTATGTCTGCATTAGTGTAACGATACTTTGAGTCCATCAACACTTGATGTTTATCAATATTCATATTTCATAACGGGGTCGAGAACAGCCCAAGTTTATCATGCCTCACTCCTAACTTGCTATTGTTATGTGTGCCAACACTGTTATGACTGAAATTTTGCTATGCAGGTGCATGTCACGTCAAAATTCGTAAAAATTTCCTTCCATGCTCGTGTGCTGTGAGTCTCGGAGTGTTGTGGTGGTGGAGTGTCTGCGTCCGATCACCCAGTCTTACCTCAACCCTGGCCTGGACGAACGTCCAGCCAGGGGGTGTTGAACCTTTGGATTGTGACTGTACATAGACCAAGATCAAATTTTCAGTGCAAGACAACAGACTTCCTTATCCGGACTGGAAGACCTTCAACACATGAGTGAGTGGGGTGACTCGCAGGTGACTTCCATCAATACCACTAATACCAAGAAGGTTGAATGGATGGAGGCGGCACCCGCTGCCTCAAGTGAAGTCACTGAGTGTGACTGATGCCTTGACCACTATGGCGACGCTTTTCTCTCAGTGACTTCATCCTCCTTGGTTGATTCCTCTATAATGTGCATAATAAATAAAACAATAGTATAAATCCTGCAGAGTTATCTATAACCAACGTTTGTTCGTAAGTAGCTGCGGCAACTGTGGCCTTGTTGCCCTCACCAAGATGGCGGCCTGGCTTCACGCGTCTCTGCTACACACGCAGGGAACACTGCCTCCATCCATTGAACCTCCTTGACTAAAATTTATGTACAGTTCAACACAAATTCGTGGTACACTGGAGGTGGAGGGAGCACAGCCCGTTCTACCCATACTTGATGGCGGGTCGCTGTCCTGACCCACCCCACCATCACACAAGTTGATACTGGCGACGGAGCAGGTGTGAAACTAAATGAACAATTGTGATGGTTTTATATCATGCATCGGTAAATGAGGTGATGGACTATATTATTCACTTATAGTATTCTATAATGATGTTTCTCTATGGTTAAATGACAACTCGCATACTTTAATGGTTATTCATATGCTACGTCAGTAGTGCACGAGGTGTTGCCGTCGCCACCGCAGCTGAGAGTGACCATAAGCTCCACCGACCAAGTATGGATCAGAGGGACGATAATATGTCACTGAGAGGTCGCATTATTATCCTTTGTGACAATGGCTTCTCCAAACGAGCCATTGCACGTGACCTTGACTTGTCCCCAGCAACCGTCATGGAGTGGATCACAAGAAGGGAGCGAATTGGGTGAGCTAAAAGTGTCTCACAAGAGGGACTGGACCACAGTAGCACTGATAAATGTTTGGCTGGAAAATAAGATAAATGCATCATGACCCAAGTTTATTATCAGCCAATTTCTGCATCACTAGTTTTGGTTAGTTATATATATATAGGTAACCATAAATATTGCTTAGTATATTACTCGTATATGTTCCACTCAGTTTTTAAGTAATCTATCACTTCAGTATAACATAATTTCTTAGTTGCACCAATCTATTTAATTAGATAACTCAGCAGTTTTAAAAAACTATGAATCAAGACAAACGTTTACTCAATATTTTGTCCAACCGCTCTCCTATTCAATCACAGCGTGAAGCCTGTCCGGCATGGATGACCAAAGTACAATACCAGCTCCGGCCTACGCCTGTAATACTCCCACTGAACATTGACGTGAGCCATAAGTTGGTTAGCTGTCCTTTCTACTGCCATACCACACGTATTCACTATGTGTACCTATACGTGCTCAATAACATTCATATCTGCTCCTTTGCTGGACACTTCTAGGAGCTCAATGTTGTCCTGTCTCTCGAACCACCGTCGAACGACGTGGGGAGTATGAATTGAGCACTTGTCTTGAAGAAAAGGATGGGACCAGGTAACCAACGGCTGCCCCTGGCCGTAGCCACACATACACACACACAAACAAAGCTCACTTGCGTCCGAGTTACAGTGGCGCTTGTGATTCAAATTCTGTCTTGACCCTCCGATGCAGAGTCAACCCTGTAACACACCTTTACTACTGTTTTGTGCGATCATATTATACCAAATTTATTCGGAGGATCCCACTCCATTTAGCCCGTGTACAGTAGTACACTAACACTTCTTGTTGTCCTGTGTCTTGTGATTGGGAGGCAAAACCCTGGTAAATAAATTCACCCAGCGACACAGCTTCACGATCTCATTATGTCCAACTGTTCCGTCTCTACATACACGCACAACAATCCATTCTTATTAACAAGACTTTTGGCATATGTTTACCAACAATTTAAATCTTGTGTCTATTGTTGTTATCGTAGAAAGTTGTCACCCTTATTGGTAAGCAGAATCATTTTCAGTTGTCCTTTGGTGTTGTGATCTCTGTGTGTTAGTAGTAGTACATAAAGCTACAACATGCAGCTTGTTTACAGTTACAGTAGTCACCTATTACCCTTACTGATGGGACGACAACTTCGTCCTCTCCATCTTCCCGTAACCTGAGTGTCTGACTTCTTTTTATCTTCACCTCAACTTTCTCGGACTGGCGGTCACTTGCCGCGGAATCATCTCATCTTGCTTTTAGTTCTTTTTCATTTTTGGTAACTAATTGTTAGGTTGATTGAAATGCAAAGATTGTAGGTTACAAGTTTTCTCCTGTACTGTACTGCATTGTACTGCACTGTACTGTACTGTACTGTACTGTACTGTACTGTACTGTCTTGTCTTACCTGACAGAGCTATCCAGATTAATTATACCGACCACTCCTATGTCGTTCCACACTAAGGCAAACTTTACCAAAGATGTCTTAATTGTGTCCTGATTTAGCTAACGCAAGGTTAATATAAACCAGTTTATATTTTCTGCATTTTTACATAACTAGAAATGTTATATAATAGGTTTAACTGATAACCATGGGAAAATATAAAGAATTTGCAGCTGAGATGATGAAATTCACCCATGTTGCTCTTGTACTGTACTTTCTACTGATTAACATTTGTTTATAAAATTCACTGACTATTATACACTGGAGGGAAGAAACGACCATTTTGAAGGACATAAGTTTGGGATGTTGGTCACGATTGACCAAGTAACTTATCCGGAATTATCAAAAAGTATTTAATTTTCGCGTCTTTCTTCTGCAAAAAAATTAGAGCTTTTACTATTGTACTCAAATGATAACGCTCTACTGATATAGTTTGTGTTAGTATTTACTTATAATTCCTTATATGGAGAGGAGAGCTGTGAATACGCCGCTACAAGAGAGCCAAAAACTGTGGTTACATAATCCCGGTGTGTGCAGCTAGCGAATCACTAACTATTTTGTCATTAATGTTCCTCCTGTATACTCCCTGGGAGGTACCTTAACTTAGGAAACCTTTATGTAATACTTCTCGGCAAAATCACAAACATTGGTGCTCTAACATCAGTATTTTTATTACTAGCGAGTGTGTTGTTCCCTTCGTTTTAATAATATTTATAGGACCCTGGATATTTGCTTACGAATTTTAGTCGAGTAACAATAATTGACAGATCAGGTGAAGATAATAATGTTTGCCAACAGTTCAAGGAGAGAAAACAGAAAGGAAAAAATGGAAATTGATAAAATATACGCAAGGCTGAAAACAAAACCTCAAGACAAACGCTGTGCAGCTACCTTATTATATCTTTCAGAGCAGATGCGAGATGAGAACCGTCGGAAAACAAAGTAAATATTGATGATTGAAGCTGTCAAGAGCAACGAAAGAAGTCATATACCAGTTCTGATGAGGATTTGTTTCTCTTCACATCAGTTTAATCTGCAATACTCAATAACTCATCTAATGGTCCCGAGTCTTAATATGGCCCAACTAACACAGCCTGATCCCAGTATTACCAAGTCCCCCGAAAGAAGACTAAAACACGGATTACCTAAGACTCCTCAAGGAAGATTAAGACAAGGATTACCTAAGACCCCCGAAGGAAAATTAAGACGATGATTACCTAAGACCCCTGAGGGTAGACTAAGACAGGGATTACCTAAGACCCCCCAGAGAGTGTTCTTAATTGTAAGCTTAAGGGAAGATAAGGGCCACTACCCCTATATATAAGGGGTTCCGGGGGTCACTCACATCTCATTAATATCTCATCCCTCAAGATGAGACTCCTCGGTCTGCTGCTGGTCTTTGGTCTCGGGGTGGTCTCGGCGGGTAAGTTATGAGAGACACAACTGTATGGATCAAGAGTCATATTCCTCACAAGGAAAGTTTACCAGCATCCAGACAGCCACTCAGATGAAAGTGTTATACCACAATAAGTCCGTTTTCTACAGACGCAAGAAAATGAAACACCGAGATGAAGCTAAACCATATTACTTCATAGCAGGACTGAAAATAACATGGATCGAACAGTCACATGGTGTAAAACACGAAATGGTCAAACTATACAAGGAACATCATCCTTACGGATCATAAATCCAGCTCTATAAAAAGTCATTTAGTTAAATGCGTAATGGTGTGGTGTCGTGGTGGTCGTCTACACACAAATGATCTTTAATATTGTGATCGATGTTCCATAAAGTTTTTACTCATTTCTATGATCTGCTTTTCAAACCTCGAGTTTCAGGGGGAACCCCGATGACAGTGTACAAAAAAAAAAAACTATAATGACCACTCCACCTAGAGGTGACCAAGACGTACACTCAGTAAAGGGATTATTCTGCACCGTTAAGATGTTATAAAATATGACACACAGACCAAGAAATCTGATAACACTCATCACGGCTTCTGTTGCAGTGATTGCTGTGGATGGTTTCAGAGCCAAGGATGCAGAATATATTTTTAGTGAATGTACAATACAGTCGCCAACAAATGTACTGTCACCTCTCCTGGTTTTCCATGAACCCCGAGATTCAGACTCTTGAACCAGAAGCAGTAGATTGATACATTATTCATTCCACGGGTGCTTCGGATTCATGAGTCTGAATCTCGAGGTTCATGGAACAACAGGAGAGGCGACCGGACACTAGTTAGGGACTGTACAGTGTATTCTCCCACGTGCAGTGTATTCTCCCACGTACAGTATATTCTCCCACGTGCAGTATATTCTACCACGTACAATATATTCTCCCACGTACGGTATATACTCGTACCGCTGTTATGACACTCGGTAGTTGAAATTCACATATATATTCGGACGTTAGTAATTTGTTGTTTTGGGGAATCAGGTAATCGTGCTAGTGTATGATGACTGTGTATCATTTGTGTAAGAGGTTTAGTTTTCTCACTTTTATTTGTGTATTAAATACGTGTATCCATCTACCTATGTGGACAAGCAGCAAGCCACAATATTTTCCGGAAGATAATTCCATCTAGTGGTTAGAGACAAAAGTGTGGTGGGGACTGCCAAGCCTCACCACACCCATCTTACAGACCACATTGGAGGAGTCGAAGCTTTTATTATTGCTTCGAATCGACTCATTCATTCGATAAACGTCAGTCAGATTGTGGACAGTATGGTTACCGGCTGCGCCTGCGGGTCTCACCTCCTTCTCCTCCATAGTGATGAGTACATTGTGTGAACTGTCTTCGCTTATAGTGTTCCTGCTCCATTACGTTAAGTATTGTATATTGTAATTGCTTTAATAGTATTATGTTGTGTCGACGGGTAAATTTTCATACTGAACAAATCTCCTATTGGTTATTGTTGGTTCTAGAATACATCGTAAATACGTAACTTAATTATATCAAGTTATTTTATTCGTTGGTTATTGTTTCACCCATATTTGAGATGGATGTAAAATTTTACTTTCACACAGCCATGGAATCTGAAAAATTTTATACAATCAATACATAGTTTAGACAATTCCAAGACACTTTTATTCAATGACGTTTCCCTCGCAAATGAACTAAAATGAGCTAACCTAACCTAAACCCATCTCACCTCTAGACCCCCTCCCCCGGTATACAGTATATAAATTATTTGCGAGGAAAATGCCATAGACGAAAAGTGTCTTAGAATTGTCTAAACTATTGAAAACTATATATTGCTTGCATAAAATTCTTCAGATTTCATGGTTGTGTGAAAGTTAAACAATATCGAGATGGACCAGTGTGAAAACGTTCCACGGTAAATAGTTATTTTAGTTGTGAACCCAATAGAAATAGGAGTTCATTTAACACTCCCACGTACAGTATATTCTCCCACATACAGTATATTCTCCCACATACAGTATATTCTCCCACATACAGTATATTCTCCCACTTACAGTATATTCTCCCACATACAGTATATTCTCCCACATACAGTATATTCTCCCACTTACAGTATATTCTCCCACGTACAGAGAAGTTGGTATGCTACTTCTCGTCGTGGGCGGTGTGGAGGCCGGGTAATGGAAAGTTCGACGTGGACGACATCCCCCCGGAGCTCTGTACTCACCTGGTCTTCGGTTTCGCTGGCTTGAGTAACTACACCTGGAGCGTTGAGGTAATCATTCTTCAGCTTGTTTATTCTCACATAGGCCTGACTCATAATCATCTCAGCCTGTCTACATTTCAACCTGATTCATAAGTGATTATTTCACATATCAAACACCATAGCTTAGGACACCATAGATTATGAAGATTAATTGGGACAACATAGCTTACGATGACTAGCTTGGACACCATAGACCATAATGCTAAGTTAGGATACCATAGATTATGATACCTAGTAAAGACACCATAACATTTGATGATTTATTAGGACGCCATAGCATCCAGTATAATGATCTTCGAAAACAATAACTCCTTCCTCAACAAGTTCTCATATTATTTCAACTACAGGTTTTGGATCCATGGAATGAGCTGTGCCCAGACGAAGAGGGTGGCAGCAGGTGCGCTTATAACAGGTTCGTGGCCCTCAAGAAACAGAACCCGAAACTATTGACCATCTTGGGCGTAGGCGGCTGGCGTGAGGGTTCCGAGGATTATTCTGTGGTACGTCTTGTCTTTTATTATGTTTCAGTATTAACGTTTATACTGATACATCATCCCTCTTATAAACCATTGCTTGGTCTTATACCTACCAGCGCACGTACAGTCAGCTAAAGATGCACTGACCCCACTCTGGGTCTCGTGCTCGCAATTTTACCTGACAATACTTGGTAAAGGAAGGCTGTATGTAAAGGTGATTGTGATTGGTGGATCCGTTTTGGCTGTATCACTGTCAGGATGATTATTAAACAACCCAAAGGTAGAATAGTTAATTATTATCTATTCATTGTTATTAAACCTTTTCACAGCGGGAGGTTACCCTAAGCTGAATAAAATCGTCTGGCGGTAGCCAGAATAAAATGGGAATTGCGTGACAATTATATTAATGAATTGGCAACTCAACCACAGCTGCCACAAGATTCTCACATATAATTTTCTTCATTATTTAATCAAATATACGAACATTTGGAAACTTCTCATGACCTTAAATAACAATGAATAGATTAGTATTATAAAAATTTTACCTTTCGTTTGTTCAATATTTATCCTGACAGTGATACAGCCGAAAACATCCACCAATCACAATCACTATTGAATCACACAGCCTTACACATACACATCAGGTTCCTTAAATTAATTTACACTTTCAGATAAATTAGGGTTTTATTTTAGTTTCGGTCATCCGGGGAATCTTAGAAATTTGTTTAGGTTATGTTAGATATCTAAACTGTTTTTCCGATGTTTTTTGATGTCTTTTGGACGATTTGGACATTCATATCAGTCGGAAATCACAGAGTATGGATGTCTAAATACAGGGATGACCAAAACTAAAATGTGACCGAGAGAAGTAGTAGTGTTTGAGAGTCATTAGTGTTGACTGTGTGTTGTGGTTGCAGATGGCCGACGACCCAGCCAAGAGGAAGACCTTTATTGACAGTACCATCTTCCTCATCAACAAACACGGCTTCGACGGCCTTGATCTCGACTGGGAGTATCCAGCCGCTCGTGGTGGTATTCCTGAAGATAAGGTGGGTCATGGTGAGCAGGGAGGGTCATGGAATAGGGTGGGTCATGGTGGTGTAGGATGGGTCAAGGTGGTGGGTCACGCTGCTTGGATATGGTATAGTATGAAGGGGCATTTTGGGGCATGGTAGGTCGTGTAAGGCCTGAGGGAGAGAGAGGCATTCATGGTACGACATTTCCATCTGATGAGAAAGATAGTCAATGTGGGTCGTGGTGGGTTGTGGTGGACCATAGTGTCGTGGTGGGTCTTGGTGGGTTGATGAGGGTCGTGGTGGGTCAGAAAAACACAGGGAGGTCAGGTTCATGGGACACTAATACAAAGCGACAGTAGGTTGAGGAACAAGCATTGACGTTTGCACCCCTTCACCTGCCCTCTTCTTCCAGGAGAACTTCGTAACACTGTTGTCTGAGCTGAGGGAAGCCTTCCATAAGTTCAACCCTCCACTGTTACTGTCGGCGGCGCTGGCGCAGGGCAAGCCAACTATGGACGCCGCCTATGACATACCAGCCATCGCGTCCCTACTGGACCAGGCGCACATTATGACCTACGACTACCACGGTGCCTGGGATAATTTTACCCATCATAATGCTCCTCTCTGTGGTTACTACCTCGACTGGGGGATCAACATCTACTTCAACGTGGTTAGTCTACTTAGGCTTTTGATTTATGGTTTTGTTTACTTTTCTATAAATTGTTGTATGTCTTAGGCAAGGTGTCAGTGTTACAGGACCTAGGCAAGGTGTCAGTGTTGCAGGACCTAGGCAAGGTGTCAGTGGTACAGGTGCTTGGCAAGGTGTCAGTGCTATAGATGCTAGGCAAGGTGTCAGTGGTACAGGTGGCAAGGTGTCAGGCAAGGTGTCAGTGCTATAGATGCTAGGCAAGGTGTCAGTGGTACAGGTGCTAGGCAAGGTGTCAGTGCTACAGATGAGGTGTCCAAGGCAAGGTGTCAGGTGCTAGTGCTACAGGACCAGGCAAGGTGTCAGTGCTACAGGTGCTAGGCAAGGTGCAGTGCTACAGGACCAAGGTGTCAGTGGTACAGGTGCAAAAGTGTCAGTGCTACAGGACTAGGCAAGGTGTCAGTGCTACAGGTGCTACAGCAGGTGGGAGGTGTCAGTGCTACAGGTGCTAGGCAAGGTGTCAGTACTACAGGACCTAGGCAAGGTGTCAGTGGTACAGGTGCTAGGCAAGGTGTCAGTGCTACAGGACCTAGGCAAGGTGTCAGTGCTACAGGTGCTAGGCAAGGTGTCAGTGCTACAGGTGCTAGGCAAGGTGTCAGTGCTACAGGCCCTAGGCAAGGTGTCAGTGGTACAGGTGCTAGGCAAGATGTCACTGCTACAGGTGCTAGTCAACGTGTCAGCGTTACAGGTGTTAAGCATCAGTGCTACAGGTGCTAGGCAAGGTGTCGGTGCTACAGGTGCTAGACAAGGTGTCAGTGCTTCAGGTGTCAGGCAAGTTGTCAGTACTACAGGTGCTAGGCAAGGTGTCAGTGCTACAGGTGCTAGGCAAAGTGTCAGTGCTGCAAGTGTTTAGTACCAGTGCTACAGGAAAGGCGTTGTCTTTGCTTCAAGTGTTGGGGTAAAAGTTCGTGTTTTTGTTGCAGGTGTACACGATCAACTACTTCCTGGAACACGGTATGCCGAAAGAGAAGCTCGTGATGGGAGTTCCGACGTATGGCCGTTGCTTCACTCTAGACAGCATCCACGACCACGGTATGCTGGCCCCAGCAAGCAACCCAGGACCACCAGGACCATACATCAGACTACCAGGCACCTTGGGCTTTAACGAGGTACAGTGCCTGCCATGATACTTACTATACGAGGCCAACGCAACCTTTTCCAACTCCTCCTACTCCTCACAAGGAAGCAAGGTCAAAGTAAAGTCACCATATACAATTGGTTTTTACCTCTGGCTTTAACGTTTTCTGATGGGTGAGAATTACTACTACTACTACTACTTTGCTGTCCCTTAGAATCGGGTATGACGATCTCCCAGCTATGATACAATAATATGAGTTATTAAGGATGTCACCTTCGTTGGTGAGCTCTGAGATGACTCGAGAGGCCGATACGGGATCGGCAGGATCGTCCACATGTTGCACATGTGGGGGATTACATCTAGTGCGGGAGGGGCGGCAGCCGTTTCTTTCCGGCGCTGGAGCTTGTCTGCCTAGGTATGCAGTCGGGTTGACTCGAAATTATTGACACCTCGTGTGGTGCTCCTCCAAGTGTTACTGTGTGGACTAATCGTCTCCTAGGTAGGGGGGTCGATTTGGCACTTTTTCAGGTTCGTCTTAAGATTATCCTTGTACCTTTTCCGTTGTCCTGCAGCGTTACGTTTACCATTCGTTAGGTGACTTTAATGGAGCTGCTTTGGCAGTCTACCGTCGTCCATGCGGGTAACATGGCCAGTCCAACGTAGTTGTTCATGGATATGGATGCTCCTTCAGTTGGTGTCAGAGAGAATACTGGCATTTGTTCTCTTGTCTTCCCAGTGAAGTCGGAGATGGAACATAGCTACAGTTGGTGAAAGTTTTCACGTGCCTTGGGATGCCTCCTGTATGTGACCTATGTTTCGCTACCATACAGCATAGTGGGGAGGTCCACTGCTCGATACACGTGCAATTTTGTAAATAATTTCAGCTCCCTACAGTTGAAGACACGGGGTATGGAGTCTCCTCTCACACGGTCAAGTTAGATTCAGTCACAGGCTGTTCAGGCTAAACCGGTTATGTGGCAGCGTCGGTGACACACACACACACACACACACACACACACACACTGTGGAACAAAGGGACCCATAGTTTAAGCAACTTTGGGGAGCCCCGATCACTAATGAATTTAATTTTTAATTTACCTCAGATATTTAATAACATTTCTCAGCCAAGTTCATTTATTCTACAATGTCATTACTTTATATTTAATTATGGGGCAACATCCAGCATGTTATCTACTATATGGCTTCCAGCTATGATATTCCTATATACAGTATTATGATGTATCTTCTTTTTTTTGGGGGTTTAAGCCATTTGCCCTGCAACTCGTCGAGCGCTCGACGCCCTGCGTTACCCGCACCCTTCTTCCGCCACCATCTGACACACTACTGCTCTGCCCTGTTGTTGTTGTCTTTACATTGGTTTCCTTAAAAGTTTTGTTGCATTTTGATCTATTACTTTGTGTTTAGCTAGTTTCTATATTTACGTTTTTAATTCTCCCGTGTTGATTTCCCCCGTGTATGGTGTACTGTATTTACTATTTCCTGTTCTAAGTTTCCCTGTGAAGTTCCCGGTTTGTGGTACAGTCCGGGCAGTATAAATATGAATATATTGTTGTTCTTTATTCTACAGCACCTGTGCGTTTTTTCCTATTTGTTTCACTTTAACCCATACAAATTTTCGTAACCTATGGTCCCGGTTATTCCACTCGGTGTGCATGCCTCCGTCCGTTTGTGCCACATAATCGGGAAACCCAGAATACACTGGTAACTGTACAGTAGTCGTATGGTCAAGTTCGGTATGATCACAATTAAGTTAGGTACAGTCATATGGTCAAATTAAATAGTTACATCATCAACTTAGGGATCCTTTATATTACTTAGATACAGTTACATGGTTGTCAAAAAAGGTGAACACATTGTAATAATTTTTGATCAATTTCATATTAACAGAAAATATACTTATAATGTTGACCAAACTTCTCAAGACGACCTTTTTGTAATACTGAACACAGCCCATTTTAGTAGTTATAGTTTAAGGACGAGAATAACGCATAAATCACCTACTCCACAATTGACTGTGATGAATGTTACGCGAAATTCTGTGAGATAAGGCATTGCCTTTGAAGACCTTAACAGTGAAAAAAATCAATATCTAACCCAGGGGTTCTCAACCAGGGGGGGAATTTCCCCCCTCAGGGGCTCGGGGAAACTGATACTAATATGGAAAAAATAAAGGATTTTCAGTATTATATGCATATTATTTGGAATGCACTTTTTGAGGCAGACAATCTTGGAAAGGAGGGGAGAATGACAATCTGACATATGGTGAAAGGGGTGCATGGGGCAAACAAGGTTGAGAACCACTGATCTAACCAGTATACGGATACAGGGGGCAGTGACTTCAGCTACGGTCATACTAGAGTTTTCCGTGCAATAAATCCACGAAAGCATTTCCTCCACTGGCTCCAATATTAAAAGTTCCAATTGGTAATCGGCATAGTTTACTTTTGGTCAAATTGCTTGCTGTCAGGTCAGTGTCCCAGGCCTTTTGCAGGTTATCATCTATTTCATATATACTGTATTAAACTCTTTATTGTCTTCTCGTAGTTCCATTTTGTCATCTCTCCTCCTTATAAGAGGATGAAAATGCAGGAGCTAGTGAGAGAACAATGAGTGAAGAAGGGAGATAATGGTAACCTCGAGATTGACTTGGCTTATGACTCAATATGCTCCACCTGCTTGGTGTACGTTCTTGGCACAGGTTTCCAGCAGAGTGTTTACTCTATTAATAAGGCTCTTAGACCCCGAAGTTGATCTAGCATAACTGGACATACTGATACCTCTGCATACACTGTCTTGACACAGATCTGTGAAAGGATGCTGAGCATGGACTGTTCCATCGTGCACGACCCAGCCCTTCACGAGCCTTACTTCTACTGCCCCGAGGACAAAATCTGGTGCGGCTTCGACGACGAGGACTCCGTCTACGAGAAGGTGAGTCACTCTTAGTAGGTGCTTGAGAAGTATGTTTGACGCCTTGAGTTAAGGAAATGTGTACGACACCTTGTATTAGGGAAATGTGTATGACGCCTTGTGTTAGGGTATGTGTATATATTAACTTATGTATATATAAAACACTTAACGTTAAGGGGATGGTATGTCTGTATCATGAAGGTGTAGCTAGTTAGAGAAGAAATTTACTGAAAGGCAAAAGTAATAACTGCGGGAAGTAAGTTTAGACGTGTTATTTTATCTAACTGAATTTCACCAATAAAAGATATTCCTTCCTTTTTTCTTTTTTTTCGGGGAATAGCCCACCCGGGCACAGGTCATCGACTCACAATGGGGCCTAGGGGGCGAAGAATTAAAAGTAAAGAGAATTTAAAAATATAAAAGAAAAAGATTATATTAATCTATATCACGAAGATGCCGGAAAACCAGCTTTTTGAAATGAGAAAGACTGTATGAGTATGGAAACACAGAAAAAGGCAAAGCATTCCACACTTTGGCTGTATGAGGAAAGAAGGATGTACTATAACGGGTTATTCTAGTGTGACCGACATCCACAGGTGGGCACCGCGGGCAAGACGAGTGTTACCAGCCCACGGCCTTACCGGTGGTACACAGGATGCCAAATCCACCTAACATTGCCCGTTAAAGTACCTGTAAAGAGAGAGAGAGTGAAGCAACATTGCGGCGAAGAGAAAGGGAAGAAAGATTATTAACTAAAGAAGGAGAGTTAATAAGAGGAAATGCCTTTGATTCCACCCTATTTAACAGTTGGACAAAAGAAGAGCCACCCCAGATATGAGAGCAGTACTCCAAGTTAGGACGAATGACTCCCTTATATACTAGAAGCAACTGCTCAGGAGTGAAGTAGCTACGGCATCTGTACAGCATTACCAGCTTTCGGGAGGCAGCTTTAGCAATGTTGAGGATGTGTAGCTCCCATGACATATTAAAGAAAATGGTGAGACCTAGCATATCTATTTTAGAATTTGGCAAAATGAATGCGTCCGGAAATGTGATTGGTGGGAGATCATCTAATTTGCAAAGTGTAATTGGTAAATACTGTGTTTTATTACTATTGTATTTTACCAAATTTCTACCTCCCTATTCGGAGATGCTGCACAGATCCGCCTTGATCCTTGTTGCACTATAAACGATTCTGACTCTTTAAGTAACAAGACTCAACATGTACTTCTTTATTTAGGCTTTTGGATAAGTAAAGAACCTCTATTGAGGCTTTAAACTAGGAAAGTACCTTCATTATTTGTAGGTAAATATCTTGAGTGGGACTTTACCTTAAAGGAAGGTACGTTTTTTACATACACTATTTATTTACCTAGCGGCTCATGACCTCGTTTGTTCAAGTCAACCTGAGGCTTGTTATAAGTCTCCCTCTCTTCCTGGTTATCTTATCCGAAGTTATTTTAAACTTTTACTCTGTTCTTCCTTCTTGCGCGTCCTTAAATAGACTGTTATACTCGTAGTTCTATCATTGAATGAAGATGAATAAATATATATATATATATATATATATATATATATATATATATATATATATATATATATATATATATATATATATATATATATATATATATATATATATATATATATATATATATATATATCTGTATCTGTAATTTATTTACTGCTTAACGTCTTGGTCAGCTTGAACCGACAACCTATCACTTGTGTAGCAATTAGCAGCTTGAATGTATTTTGGAGGTTTTATGTTGTTAAACTTATTACGGATTTTAAACGCCTTCGTGAAATCTGTTCTGTCTTGTCTTTTTCGAGGAGCTGTATATCCCTAAGCCTCGAGGTCAACCAAGGAAAATATATTTATTTATCAATATCATCAATTTAGAAATGTTATGTCTGGCTCAGGCTCGCTACGCCAAGAACATGGGCCTCGGAGGCGTGTTGGTGTGGACCTTGGACACTGACGACTTCCATCCGCTCTGCTATGATGAACCCTTCCACCTCATCCAGAATATGAAGAGAGCTCTCAGTACTCCTGCTGATGGAAAAATTGTGGTGAGTTGTTTATGAGAGACTCCTACTGATGTGTGTGAAGTTAATGTATTCTATGAAGTAATTGTATTTTATGATTCGTATACATTTATACACAAAGTCACTTATTGTCTGAAGTTTCAGGTCTGTTGATGGCAATAAATACCGTCACAACATTGCCAACTAAATATATTCATGTTTATCCACCTGTTCTGTTTCTGTTGACCCTGGGTAGACTTAACCCTGAGTAGAATCACTTACACCAGTTTTACATATAATCCAAACTGGATATATGATAAATAATAAGTTCATCGGCAGTGTTATGAGGTTATTCAGATTGTTTTAACGACAAGTGGGGAAAGTTTGTTTCATCTCTGCTGTACGATGGAGCTTTCCTTATTTGTTTTCTCGGTATAATTTATATCTTTTTTCTAGGAGTGTGCAGCCGTCACTCCGACTGGAGACATCGCTACCACTACTGAGATGAGTACAGTCTTCACCACCCAAGAATCTACTTCTACCACCACCCAAAAACCCATTACCACCACCCAAAATCCCATTACCACCACCCAAGAACCCATTACCACCACCCAAGAACCCATTACCACCACCCAAGAACCCATTACCACCACCCAAAAACCCACTACCACCACCCAAGAACCCATTACCACCACCCAAAATCCCACTACGACCACCCAAGAACCCATTACCACCACCCAAAACCCCACTACGTCTTTGAGGCCGATTAGTAGCACCACCGAGGGCCCAGGTCCGCACCCAAGACCAGACTGTAGCAAGCACATCGATGGCTCTGTGTTCCCTCACGAGGACTGCAACAAGGTGATGCTTAACCCCATGTACTTGTTTCACCGACATATATGACAGATGATTGAAAGGCTCCCATACAGCATGCCACTGAGAGTTCCCTTGTACAGTATAAAACGTTTGACTGGTTTCTATTAGCACCTTGGTATTTGAGCGATCCATATCCCACATTAGCATATACAGATATTTGAAAAAATGTGCGACTTTATTATTACACACTTATATAACACGAGAAAGACGCTTCAGATATAAACCCTATTGAGTTTCGATTTAGGAATAACTTTAGGGGGTAAAAGTTCTGATAACATTGGACAATCGGGAAGTACTCAATGTTGGTATGGTACTGCCAGTATGCCGCATGAAAGCAAAAAAAAATGGTATTTTTACTGGTTTCATTTTGATAAAAAAGTTTGCAGCGATTACCGTATTAGGTCATCGCAAGGGAACTATTTAATTATATTGCTCATAAAGAGGGAACTTTTCATATTGTAAAATAAGAAATCAACCAACGATTCATAGTAAGATGTGTAAGAGTGCCAATGGCAAATATGACCATTTACATGTTTTTGTCCTAGACGAGTCGAACAACAATAGGTTTCCCCTAAAACACAATTGAGGGGATGCTGGTCTTATGGGTCACAGTTCCAAAGGGTCCCTGTCCATCTTATCCCCAAACGACCCAAACCAAACCATTAAGACTGTGGCCCATTTGATCTGCCACCAATTGAAATATCAAAGGCACTGAACTCCGTCTTTAAACACCTTCTAAATACACATTACAGGTCTGAGTCTCCGTTATGTACACAATACTGTACTGGGTCTTGAGTCACGTTGTTGCTCCAAAATTTATCTATAAGGAGGGGCTCAATGAATTTTAAAATGATCCCGCGAGTACTGTTGTCTCAGTAGGATTGTCAAGACCCTTTGTCTGTTGTGTTGTATTGTCTCACACAAAATCGTAAATATACTTTTTTGGAGCGAGTGTTACACAGTGCAGTACTGGGTCTTAGCCACGTACACATTGCAGTACTGAGCCATGTCCACATCATTACAGTACTGGTTGTGCATCAACGGACAAGCCGTGCTGGAGTTGTGTGGTCCCGGGACGCTCTTCGATGAAGACTTGATGATCTGTAACTGGAAGGAGAACGTCGACACCTCCCACTGCAAGTTGTGGTTGTGCGAGGTAGACAATGTCTACTACCCTGCTGTCGACTGTGACAAGGTAAGAACCTCCTCACAACTGGGGATCACTCCCGGTAGTCATCTTGGTATTGTTTGGATGTTATTATAATATCCGAGCAGGATAGGATTTGTAGCAACAGATTTAAGTTGGATAAGTTTAGGTTTAGCAGGGAGATAGGAAGGAACTGGTTTACAAATAGTGATAGACGAGTGGAACAAGCCTAGCAACTCCGTAGTAAGTGCTGGAACCCTGGAAAGTTTTAAAAGGAGGCTAGATAGATTCATGGAGGACAGAGTGGTTGTAACTCTAGACAGGAGCTGCCATATATATATATATATATATATATATATATATATATATATATATATATATATATATATATATATATATATATATATATATATATATATCTTGATAAAATCACACGGGAAAATGGAAACAACGGAGTACCTTAGCTTTATTGGTGAGGAGCTCTCGATAGCACTTGGGCCAGGGATACACTGAGAACCCTGTGGCATGAACAGGCTAGAGGTATGAGAGGAAACATTCTTAATGAGTCGGTCGGTCAGTCAGGAAAGAAGCTTAGAGATGAGTCAGGCAGCTGAAAATAAGAGCCTTGTGTCGCCAGTACAGACACATTTCTGTGCCACTCAGTATATGGGTAATGGGTGTTATGTTCTTTCTTACATCTTCCATTTCTAGAGGATTAGTGAATATTTCAGGGAGGAAGGGAATACATATACAAAATATATAATCCAGCAAACTAAAGCAAAACTAAGAAATATTTGTGCATCTGATAGCAGAACTAGTGACATCCACCTTTAGAGTGGACTACTGCCAAGAATCTACTGAAGACCATTAATTCCTTCATGAAGCACCCTAGATTAAACGTGGAACATATGTATTCTTGAGATTTTATGTGAGAATCTTGTCATCCATAGTTGTAGTTGCATTGCCAATTCATTAATATTATTTTCTTCATTATATAAGCAAATATACGAACATTTGAAAACTTGTCATATCTTAAATAACGGTGATTAGTTTATTATTACAAAAGTGCTACCTTTGGATAGTTTAATATTTATCATGACAGTGATATAGCCGAAATTAAATCCACCAATCACAATCACTATTACATACAGCCATCAAGTATTGCCAGGTAAAATTGCGAGTACTAGACCCTGGGTGAGGTCGTTGGTACTTTGGCTGACTATATACTTGTATTGTTTTCTTTCATTTAGGAGCTTCATTTGCCAGTTTTGTTAATCTTATAAGGATTCGAAACTATTAGGACCGGGGTCCATGGGGTTAGTCACCGGAGATTCATCTTGTTTCAGTACTACCGGTGTTACCAAGGTTCACCTCACCTAGAGCAGTGCGCCAATGGCCTCTACTGGAATCAGGCGCTCAGTATGTGTGACATACCTGCCCGTGTCGACACCTCACAGTGCAACATTCCCTAGTTACTAATTCAATTCCTACAACTTTACCAAGACTTTCAGAGCCAATCTCTTGTTAGTTGTACCACGATTGTCAGTTACAACTATACCAATGACACCACTTAGCATACAACTATAACAAGACCACCACTTAGCATACAACTATAACAAGACCACCACTTAGCATACAACTATAACAAGACCACCACTTAGCATACAACTATAACAAGACCACCACTTAGCATACAACTATAACAAGACCACCACTTAGCATACAACTATAACAAGACCACCACTTAGCATACAACTATAACAAGACCACCACTTAGCATACAACTATAACAAGACCACCACTTAGCATACAACTATAACAAGACCACCACTTAACATACAACTATAACAAGACCACCACTTAGCATACAACTATAACAAGACCACCACTTGGCATACAATATAACAAGACCACCACTTAGCATACAACTAAACAAGACCACCAGGCATACAACTATAACAAGACCACCACTTATCATATAACTAAAACAAGACCACCACTTAACATACAACTAAAACAACCACTTAAGACAACTATAACAAGACACCACTTAGCATACATAAGACCACCAGCATACCAACTAAAACAAGACCACCATACAACTAAAACAAGACCACCACTTATCATACAACTAAAAACAAGACCACCACCACATGCAACTAAAACAAGACCACCACTTTGCATACAACTATAACAAAGACCACCACTTTGCATACAACTATAACAAGACCACCGTTAGCATACAACTAAAACAAGACCACCACTTAGCTACAACTAAAACAAGACTACCACTTGTGTGCAACTAAACAAGACCACCCTTGGCATACAACTAAAACAAGACCACCACTTAGCATACAACTAAAACAAGACCACCACTTAGCATACAACTAAAACAAGACCACCACTTAGCATACAACTAAAACAAGACCACCACTTAGCATACAACTAAAACAAGACCACCACTTTGCATACAACTATAACAAGACCACCACTTAGCATACAACTATGACAAGACCACCACTTAGCATACAACTAAAACAAGACCACCACTTAGCATACAACTAAAACAAGACCACCACTTAGCATACAACTATGACAAGACCACCACTTATCATACAACTATAAGAAGACCACCACTTATCATACAACTAAAACAAGACCACCACTTATCATACAACTATGACAAGACCACCACTTATCATACAACTAAAACAAGACTACCACTTAGCATACAACTAAAACAAGACCACCACTTAGCATACAACTAAAACAAGACCACCACTTATCATACAACTAAAACAAGACCACCACTTAGCATACAACTATAACAAGACTACCACTTATCATACAACTAAAACAAGACCACCACTTAGCATACAACTAAAACAAGACCACCACTTAGCATACAACTAAAACAAGACTACCACTTATCATACAACTAAAACAAGACCACCACTTAGCATACAACTAAAACAAGACCACCACTTAGCATACAACTAAAACAAGACCACCACTTATCATACAACTAAAACAAGACCACCACTTAGCATACAACTATAACAAGACTACCACTTATCATACAACTAAAACAAGACCACCACTTAGCATACAACTAAAACAAGACCACCACTTAGCATACAACTAAAACAAGACTACCACTTATCATACAACTAAAACAAGACCACCACTTAGCATACAACTAAAACAAGACCACCACTTAGCATACAACTAAAACAAGACCACCACTTATCATACAACTAAAACAAGACCACCACTTAGCATACAACTATAACAAGACTACCACTTATCATACAACTAAAACAAGACCACCACTTGCTTCACTCTCCACCTTGATAATGATGTGCCTAAACTCATTTATCTCAGACTGTTTTGAACGTTGAAATAAAGTTTTACATAAAGCTTGAGTTTTTATTCACTTCTATTCATAGGTATTAATCCAATAAGAGAGATAAGTGAGATACAGTAATGGACGATTTCGTAACACCCCATCCTAATGCACCCCATCCTAATGCACCCCATCCTAATGCACCCCATCCTAATGCACCCCATCCTAATGCACCCCATCCTAATGCACCCATCTCATGCACCCCATCCTAATGCCACACCCCATCCTAATACACCCCATCCTAATACACCCCATCCTAATGCACCCCATCCTAATGCACCCGATCCTAATGCACCCCATCCTAATGCACCCCATCCTAATGCACCCCATCCTAATGCACCCCATCTAATGCACCCCATCCTAATGCACCCCATCTAATGCACCCCATCCTAATGCACCCCGTATAATGCACCCATCCTAATACACCCCATCCTAATGCACCCATCCTAATGCACCCCATCTAATGCCCATCCTAATGCACCCCATCCTAATGCACCCCCCATCTAATACCCCATCCTAATGCACCCCATCCTAATGCACCCCATCCTAATACACCCCCATCTATGCACCCCATCCTAATGCCCCATCCTAATGCACCCCATCCCTAATACACCCCATCTGTTATCCCATCTAATACACCCCATCCTAATACCCATCCTAATGCACCCCATCTAATTGCATCATCTAATACACACCCCCATCCTAGTACATCCCATCCTAATACACCCATCCTAGTACATCCATCCTATTACTATCCTAATGCCCCATCCTAATGCACCCCCCCATCCTAATGCACCCATCTAGTACATCCATCCTAATACACCCCCATCCCTAGTACATCCCATCCTAATACACCCCATCCTAATACACCCCCATCCTAATACACCCCCATCCTAATACACCCCATCCTAATACACCCCATCCTAGTACATCCCATCCTAATACACCCCATCCTAGTACATCCCATCTAATACACCCCATCTAAGTACATCCCATCCTAATACACCCATCTAATACACCCCATCCTAATACACCCATCCTAGTGCATCCCATCCTAATACACCCCATCCTAATACACCCCATCTATTACACACATCTAATGCACCCATCCTAATGCACCCCATCTAATACTTCATCTGTACACCCCATCTAGTACATCCCATCCTATTACACCCCATCCTGGTACGTCCCATCCTAATACCCATCCTATTACCACATCTATGCACCCCATCCTAATTTGTCCATCCTGTACACCCCATCCTAATACTTCCATCCTAATACACCCCATCCTAGTACATCCCCGTATAATACACCCCATCCTAGTACATCCACATCCTAATACACCCCATCCTAATGCACCCCCATCCTAATGCACCCCATCCTAGTACATCCATCATACACCCATCCTAATACACCCCATCCTAGTACATCCCATCCTAATACACCCCATCCTATACACCCCCATCCTAATACACCCCATCCTAGTACATCCCATCCTAATACCCCATCCTAATACACCCCATCCTAATACACCCCCATCTAATGCACCCCATCTAATGCACCCCATCTAATGCACCCCATCCTAATGCACCCCATCATAATGCACCCCATCCTAATGCACCCATCCTAATACCCCCATCTAATACCCCATCCTAATACCCCATCCCTGGTACATCCCATCTAATGCCCCATCTAATGCACCCATCTAATACCCCATCTATCCACCCCATCCTGGTACATCCCATCCTAATGCACCCCATCCTAATACCCCATCCTGGTACATCATCCCTATACACCCCATCTAATGCACCCCATCCTAATACCCCATCCCTAATGCACCCCATCCTATGCACCCCATCCTAATGCACCCCATCCTAATACCCCATCCTAATGCACCCCATCCTAATACACCCCATCTAATACACCCATCATAATACACCCCATCTAGTGCACCCCATCCTATTGCACCCCATCTAATACACCCCATCCTAATACACCCATGCTAATATACCCCATCCTAATGCACCCCATCCTAATACACCCATCTAATGCACCCCATCCTAATGCACCCCATCTAATGCACCCCATCCTAATGCACCCCATCCCCTAATACCCCATATTAATACCCATATTAATGCACCCATGCTAATATACCCCATGCTAATATACCCCATCCTAATGCACCCCCATCCTATGCACCCCATCCTAATACCCCATCTAATGCACCCCATCTAATGCACCCCATCTAATGCACCCCATCTAATACCCCATCCTAATGCACCCCATCTAATGCTGCCCCATCCTAATGCACCCCATCTAATGCACCCCATCCTAATGCACCCCACTCTAATGCACCCCATCCTAATATACGCCATCCAATCCTAACCCAATTTAACCATAAAATTCAGGGCCTTATAAGCAATGGTACTCGGTAGGACTGAGACTCACTATGAACTTAAGTTAGGTTAGGTTATATTATTGACCTTTTGGGATTGGGACCCGGTTCACGTGTCAGCCAGATAGTAGTACATTGACCTCTTCCTCCTCCTGGCAACATCACGAGAAACCTTCACCTAAATGCAACAGAAAACACTATTGATGAATTTGCCGCACTGTGAGACAATTATTATACTGACACTCGTAATTTTATGTAATCTATAGATAAGAGTACAATGATTTTTTTTCTGTTCTATAGAAAAGCTATATGGTACGAACACACTAAAATCGCAGGCGTGCTAGAGGAGAATGAAAGGCAGCAGATTATCAAAATAGTGAAAAATAGTGATTGCCCCGATGCTTCATGGCGAACAATATTTTAGAAGTGAAAAAAAAACATCCAAGGTGTAGATAATTCCACACCCTCGAATGGCTGGACTCATAAGTGCGTTTGTGAAAGGAAGTGGGGCCCTTGTCTTGTAAGCCGACACACGTACACCGTAAACACTGACTGAAATATGACCTATAAAAGAAAAGTGGAGTATTGCTGTAAGAAAAGGTTTGGTAGAGGTGTAGGGAACAGTGGAAGAGTTCAGGGAGATAGACTCTAAACTCCATCTTATCTAATAGCTGCAACACGTGGGAAGCAGATTTTTTTAAGTTGTCCTTTGTATGTGAGTGTATATGAGGTTCCAGTAAAGAACAAAAATCATTGTAATAACGGGACGTGTTTTAGGGATTAATAACGGGTAGGTGTGTAATTTAGAAGAGAGTATTAGTAGATTGAATACCGGGCTGGAAAAGTTGAGTCTCGACATTGTTAAGTCGGACTTTCTTCAATTATCTCTCGTGATGCTTGATGGTATTCTTCTTTCCAATCACATGAATAACATCCTTAAATTTGTTGAGATTTTTGGCATATACTTCAGTTGCTGATACATTATTGGTGTGATCCAACTTTTTCACACAAGTTGTTAGTATGATCAGTAATAGTTTTTTACCATAGTTGGGGCTATTAGACTATTACAAACATGTTTTTAATTCTAGTTTATAAATTTTCAGTGAGTACCAGAACGCTACATCGTTTATTGGTTATATTTTGAATGAACTTGTTGTTATTTCATCTTAGGTGGTTGTTGTATGACAATCACGAGACTGGGGTTAACACGGAGGAAGGATTAGAACAGAGCTGAGGCAGGGTTAAGACTGGGAAAGGTAGAAATCAGGGGTTGGGGCAATACCGAGAACAGGAGGACCAGCAGGTAATGGTGAGTCTCGAATCACAAAAAGAGGGTACAGTACAGACTTACGAAAGGCGAGGTGTCAGCTGGTCGTGTCCGCCTACTGAAAAATTTCCCAATGTGTTTACCCTACTTTCTCCTCCCTCTTTATTCCTTTCTCCTTCCTCCCTCCTTCCTTTCCCTTCCTCCTCCTTCCTTTCTGCCTCCCTCCTTCCTTTCTCCTTCCTCCTCCTTCCTTTCTCCCTTCCTCCTCCTTCCTTTTCTCCTTCCTCCTCCTTCCTTTCTCCTTCCTCCCCTCCTTCCCTGCTCCTTCCTCCTCCTTCCTTTCTCCTTCCTCCTCCTTCCTCCTTCTTCCCCTCCTTCCTTTCTCCTTCCTCTCCTTCCTCCTTCTTCCCTACCTCCTCCCTCTTTATTCCTTTCTCCTTCCTCCTCCTCCTTCCTTTCTCCTTCCTCCTCCTTCCTTCCTCCTCCTTCCTTTCTCCTTCCTCTTTCTTCCTTTCTCCTTCTTCCTTTCTTTATTCCTTTCTCCTTCCTCCTCCTCCTTCCTTTCTCCTTCCTCCTCCTTCCTTCCTCCTCCTTCCTTTCTCCTTCCTCTTTCTTCCTTTCTCCTTCTTCCTTTCTCCTTCCTCCTCCCTCCCCCTCCCCTCCCTCCCCCAAAATAGATTACATTACTTGAGACTTCGGAAGGTGCACATCCGATAAAATATCTTAAGTTCGATAAAGAGGCGACGTACAGATGACATAAACCCGGGACCCTGTGAAAATATTGCTGAAGAATTACACAGTAAGGTCAAGACAGTGCACAGCACATTGTAAGGTAAAAAAGAAAAAAAAAATCTCTAAGGGTCACAATCAGCAAGTTTTTAATGGCAATAAGAACCTTAAATTTACAAGGTATCCCCAAATACCAGAGAGAGAAAACACATTTTTTTTAATGATTTATCAGTTTTCGTGTTGATTTTTCCCATGACGGTTGTTGGACTATCACCAGCTGTTGTCACCATCAGTTTATCTCCTCAGCTTATAAGTTAACTTCCCCATGATTCATTATCCCACTCCTCCTCTATGCTCACCCCACTCCTCCTCTATGCTCACCCTACTCCTTTATGTTCACCCCACTCCTCCCCTATGCTCACCCAACTTCTCTATGCTCACCCCACTTACTTCTCTGCCCTCAAAATATCTTCTACGATATTTTTGTAGTCTTAATGCTGTGCTCATTAAGGTAGATAGATGTTAACACTAAATACACTGGGGTAAACTTTGCTGCTTACCTTAGTATGTCCAGTACAGGCTGAATCAATGTTCATTCAGAGGACAATTTTAATAAAAAATATTTATCTATTTACCTATCTATCTACCCATCTATCTATCTACTAACCTATCTATCCACCACTCTATCTAGATACCGATTTACCTACCTACCTACCTATCTGTATAACCGTTATGTTAAGGAAAAATGGGGCTTATCCCCATTATTGATAACTTAAAAAAACACTAATAATATTTTCGCTAAAAATTATTCATTATTCCGATCTGTACAGTATGTTTGTCATCTTGGCCAACATCAGAAATTTTACTATTTCATATTTTCTCAATTTTAGGGCACTGAAACAAGATACTGTGTATGGATAAAAGATTTATAATTTCATACTATAAACATGTTAACTTGTATTGTGAAATGGCGTCTGCTTATACACAGTAAAAAAAAAAAGTATCGCCCAGCGGGGGGGGGGGTTGTCTGCTTTCTTTCATAATGATCCATACATCCCCCGATGTGCCGGGAGGGTTGGTATGCGCGCTTGTATGGCAAAGGTTTCCACCTACCTATGGTAGGGCAACAGATGTGCGAGGACACACTCGGACAAGGAAAGCAGGGCTACCACCATAATACAGGACCAACACGCATATTCCACTATCCCTCGTCCGTGGTATCATATTGTTTCGCACATAATCTGTGCGGTACTTTTTTTTTTACTGTGTGTACCAAAGCTGTTGAAGCAAATAAGACAAGGCTTTTTTTGGTGGGTGTACACAGAGTGAGAGAGGAGGAGGAGGGGAGGGAAGTAGGGAGGGTTGTACTGAGGTGTAAGTTGGGAAAGTACAGCTGACAAGATTGGGGCCTTTAGTGGGGTGTGATAAACAAAAACAGGGCCACACTTTTCTTTTCTCACAAATAACTCTTCTATCTACTGACCGAAGTATTAATATTCGTTCTGCGTGAAAGATGAGGCACATTAAGATTAACCGTTCATAAAGCTAACCTGTCCTAACCTAACATTACTTTATCTAACCTAATCCACCCCCCAAGTAGCGTTAGGGTGTTTAATCTTAAGGTGATATAAGCTGGGGTTCCTAATCTTCATCTGATTTTATAGTTTCTATGATAAAGGTGTTTACCCTCGCCTCTGTATCCAATATGCCATCATGCAGTGACCCTCAAGCATTATCGTGGTTTAGTAAAATACCTGTATATGACTCTTCATTGCGAGTGTTTAATGTTTCTAGAAAAGCTCTGGTTCTCAAAACATCTGAGTACTATCTTAGAATTCCTTGTTTAAAATCTAAACATGTAAAAATAAAATCCAGTACTTTTCACCTTAATTACAGTCTGCGTATAGCCAAGAAGGCCCAAGAGAATTTCGACTACCCTAACGAAATTCACTTCATTAGAAATTTAGCTGTTCGTGAGAGGAAATTCCTTCAACTGTTTAATCATATTGCGTAGGCGGGGACGGTGTCTCAGGTGACAGAGAAGCTTCCGAAGCACTCAATGTCATAGTTAATATGGGAATTTCCTTTGCATTTTTATGCGGATGGGCAAGTCCCTTCCCTGTCTTCGGTAGAAAAGGTGCAGCTGTACATTTTTCAGGACTTAGCATTGTCGGGACTGAGAGAAGTTAACCCTAACTCATGGGGCCTCGGGTCATAGACACAGGTGGGAGTGATCTAGACTTGATCATCTTTTGCCATCGATCAAGAAGAGGTGCATGGCATTTTGTTTGAGCCCTACCTGATAATGCCTCTACTATTTGAGCAAGAAGAACAGCACTGAAGACAGTTAAGATGTATGAACCATTAGGGTTCTCTGGGTCTATCTAATAAAGACTTAGTAACATTACAACAATTAACGACTGGTGTGAGAAAATCGGGGATACTGACCACTCTGGAGGTTCATGCTGATACAGCTATTTTTCGTCGTGTGCAAGTATTGAGGGGAACGTTTTATCAGCTTTTAAGTATGCAGTGTTGAGGCACTATTAACCAACCCCCTTTGTGTACGGAGGCCTCTGCTGAATAAAACCGTCTGGCGTTGGCCGAATAAATATTAAACGTGGCGTCCCCATAGTGAAAGGGTTTGGGGAGACTGTCTATACTAATAGACTGAAATAGTGAATCAGTTACTCTTGACTTTCCTAAAGCACTTGAGTTTCACATCGATTCTCAACTGTCAAATTACCTTCTCTTGGCCTTTTTCCTTGAGTCCCAATATATTTTGTTTTTCTGACCGACCAGAGTGCATGTAGGCCGGGACTTACATTTTTCTGACAACCACTGTGTATATCCTGGGGTCCCTCAGGGTTCCGCACCAGATCCAACTCTTTTTTTTCTATTACACATTAATGGTCTTACAGTAAAAACCAGCCCAGATGATTTTTTTTCATAAAGGATTGAATCGTTTTTACCAGTCACATAAAATTTAGTTAATGTTACACAACAGAAAGTATTGCCTACATAGTTGAGTGGGTTGCATCCAACACGGTCTCCATCAGCGCCATTACAGAAAAATGTGTATTATTCAGCAATAACATCTAATTCAACGTTGACTTTGATGGCATTATCATTCCAGCCTCATAAAACTGTGATTTTATGTTTCATTTTTACCTCGGATCTCATCATGACAGATTTTTTTCAAAGCTCTGACGCTTGGACTTACAGTGTATTCCTAATTTTGTCTGGCCCTACTGTACTTATAAACAACTGGCAGTCATTTACGTAAGTCACCAGCGCTGCCGGGTGGATTACTCCAAACATCGGCGAGCTAGTTGTGTTTTCTGGTACTTCGTCTCGTCGATTTACTGATGAAAGAGGTCAGCAGCACACGCAAGTGGGAAATTATCGTTTCTGGTAGAGCTTCACATTTGTCACACGGATATTCCTCAGTAGTGGTCGGTACAAAAAACATAAATTTAATCAAGTCTCATTGATGTGACCGCAATCAGAAGTGTTTTTTCTTCAGAATTGGTGTTCTTTGTCCGTTGTTTCTTCATAGTGTGGCCAATCTAAATACGATACAACATAAAAGATAGGTTAAGTAACGTCAACTCAGATGCAGACAGGTGTAGTATAGATGATACTTTGTTGAAGTTGAAGAGACCAAATATTGTATGTATAAAGTGAAGAGACACATTGCATTTACTTACCAATACAAGTGTTCTAATTATCAATTTCCTATCTCAAATCATCTAGCAGTTGCTGTCTATCTCTCAAGGAACAATTACAGTGAATGATCCAGAAGTTTCTGAATTGGGGATCCGAACGTGAGCCTGGAAGATGTGATATCGAAGAGCTCGCTGCACCCGTAACCCAGTGACAGTGATTACAAGCCTTCCTGTGTCCTTGTCACAATCAACACAATGATGGTGAGTTCCCAGGGATATGATACCACGCTATCAAGGCCGTGTGGCTCTATGATGCTGGTGCTTGTGCACCTATAGGCAGGAGGACGGGCAAGAGTGGCTATATAAGTGAGCGAGAGAGACCACACGTCCACACATACTCAAGTATTGTCTGTCATGAGAATCCTTCTAGTGCTGCCTCTTCTCGCCGTCGCGCTCTCTCTAACAGGTACTCTCTTGTAACACAGCAAAGAGCCTCATTCCTATTAGACCCAAACTTACTGTAATTTAATTATTAGGACTGAGCTCCTTTAGAACTGCAGCGCCCACTTAACTAGGCACTGTACACTCTTGCCCTCGCTTGTTCCACTTTATCGTCTCCCTCCCAAAAACACGTGTGTACATTTATTTACCCGAGAGAAAGTTTTGATATTGAATTATTATCACCACGGTATTTTCATCATTGTCATTATTTAGTTGGGGATCCTTCACATCTAGTCTTTTTTATATAATAACTTTTTCGCCAGAGTGAGATACATATCTTTGACTTTTTTATTTTCCTTTTTTGCTGAGCTCGTTAACCTCTACAGACCTTTGAGCAAGTCACGAGGAACTTACGTTATGCGTAGTTCCTGTAAGTCAGAACTTATAGGGACGAAGAATTAATATGAGATATTTTATTTCAAAATTATGATATTTGGGCACAAACTGAGCGGAGACAAAAAGCTTTTCCATACATCAGTTCATAATAACAACAGAGCTAAGTTGTGATAGATCATTACGGAAGGTCAATAGCAAACATCCTTTACGCTGGCTCCTGTAGTTTTTACTTTGACAAACATCCACCAGGCGGGAATGACTGACCAGTCCTGACTCTTAACCTGACAATGGAAGGATATTGTTGCAACCCAAGGCAAAGACTGGCTAGTGCCGGAGACTAGTATGACTGGGTGAAAAGTATATTTAGACACTACAGACGATCACACACTATCAGCCATATTTCTCCAGGTGTTGGAACTCTTTTCTCAAAGGCCGGGAGTGCAAAGCACTAACCAAGGAACCCAAACATCCCTTTTTATGTTAAATCCTAACTTCTATACAATGAAGAATCTTAAAAGATAAAAGAATATTAATCATTTATATGTTTATTAATTTATATATTTATTCATCTTCCTTCTCTTCCTCCCAGTAGACCAAATACAGACCACATCAGTACTGAAAAATTTATAAATTGCTTCTCCATATGCAATACTAAAGCAATATTATTTTGGTTAGATTTTCCACGTTTAATATAACTAATTATTCTTGGGCTTTTCTTCACTGTTTTGGCTTTTATCGCAAGGTTTCGTTGTATTAGGGGAGTAAACATTACAAAATAAAAATTTTATAAAACTAAAATATTGTGTTGGCCGCCCTGAGTGTACCGTGCTCAGCCTAAAGAGTCATATTTAATGTTTACGTTCAGGAATGTTACAGTTAAAGTGAAGTGTACGACGATGGACCATACAAAATGTTTACGTTCTCTATAAATTAATTTTCTTTCTTTTATTCTGATAAAATTTTAAGGACTTACACAATCTCTGAGTATTACCTTGCGTCTTCTTTTTCATTTTACGATTTGCCAAATTTCAAGCGCATGTTTGCAGCTCGTCGCTTACCAACATACAGTCGCCCACACTTCCACGTGGTACAGTTAGCGTTTGCCAGTCCTATTTCACCATGATGTGTGAATCCAGAGTGCACTGAAGCATGATTCCGAATCGCTCGTGAGTGAGGGGTAGATGTGGTACACAGGTTGAGGGGGTTAAGGTTTACTTTAGGAGGTAAGAGGGATGGGAGAGGGCTTTTGCAGCTACTACGCAGTGTTTAATAAGTAAGGATATAAATTCGTAGGATGAAACAAACATTAGTAGTAGAATTTGTCACCACATATTAAGGATGTATTTCAAGCTCATTTAAATCCAAACTGAGATTCAGGTGACGATTTTACGCGCGAGGTGATTCGACACATATGGAGGCCTAATGTAGAAATTATTATTATCTCTTTAATTTGTCGACAGAGGGCGTGATGGTGTGCTACTTGGAGTCATGGGCCGTGTACAGGCCAGGGAAGGGCAGTTTTGATGTAGAGGACGTTGATCCCAAGATCTGCTCTCACCTCATCTTTGCCTTTGCCGGACTTGGCTCCAATTCGAAAATCAAGGTAAGACTATAAAGAAACTAACGTAACTTTTCTGGTGATAATTTATGATATATTCTAAGAACTCTCTTATTAAATCTTAAGTGTTTTTATATTTTGTGTTATTTCAAGGACATTCTAACATTCAAATGTATATATTAGTATACAGTACAGTTTGGTTACTAGGGTTAGGCAACAAATTATTCTGACTACTTAATGTGATGTCTCTGGCAGGTTTTGGACCCGTGGCACGAACTGTGTAAGGACTACGGAGAGTGTGCCTACAACAGGTTCACCGCTCTCAAGGAGAAGAATTCCGCATTGGTCACAACCTTGGCCATCGGTGGCTGGAATGAGGGTTCGACCAAATACTCCAATGTTAGTAAAATTACATATATTTTTTATATAACGTTATAACCTTATCTATACACGATATTAAGGTCTTAATTATGCTCCTATTTGTTTGGGAGTGGAATAAAATTTGATAGACACATAGAGATAGAAATATTCGCCTTGTACTTTGGCTCAAAACACTTGCCAATGCAAACACTCTTTGTGCTACCCCTCTTTGTCTTTGAATGAAGAAAGATTTTATTGACATACAATATAAAGACAAAATGCAAATGTGGCCCTAACTGTTAACAGATGGCTATGGATCCCGCCAAGAGGAAGACCTTCATCGACTCCTCCATCGCCCTGTGCAAGGATCACAAATTCGACGGTCTAGACCTCGACTGGGAGTACCCATCCATGAGAGGCGGCAAGCCTCAGGACAAGGTCGGTGAATACACTCATACTACATTCACTTATTTCATGTGCTCATATAAACTGAATGCACAAGTACAGTATATTCTTTAGTTCACTTTACGGCCTACATGCTGTGGACTGCATAATCCAGATACTGTGGATGGTGTGACCCTGACACTGTAGACTGTATCGCTGGCATACCGTAGAGGTGTAGACTGTGAAAGGCTGGGAGTTTATAGATTATTTTCTTTGCAGCAAAACTTCGCTACCCTACTCTTGGAGATGTCGGACTCCCTGCACTCCAACGGGATGATCCTGACGGCCGCCGTGTCTGCCGGAAAGGATAAGATCGATGGTGGATACGATGTACCTAAGATGGCCCAAGCTCTCGACATTATGAACCTCATGACTTACGATCTTCACGGTGACTGGGAACCCTTCGTCCACCACCAGTCTGGACTGTACCCTTATCCCGATGACACCGGCGATAATAAGAACCTTAACGTCGTAAGTTATATCATACCTTTCCCGTTCACTTTCCCCGAGTCTCACATTAGGATGTCCTTAACGAGTTTCCTTACCTTTTGATGTGAAATGTATATCAAAGTAGCACAGTTAAAACTACGATGGAAAGATGGAGGCTAAGAATGGGATCGAAGCTGTATAGATTTTATGGGAACCCAATACTTTGTTTGATTCCCGTTTAAAGAGAATAAATGTAAGAGGCGTTGTGAATCTGTTATATGACCCCTATGTCTGTTATGATTCATCCAGGATATTCTTTTGTGTAAGTTAGTGACATTGTTATCCTCTCTCCTATTTCAGGACTTCGCCGTGAACTACTGGATGGAGAAAGGAATGCCCAGCTCCAAGATCGCCCTGGGTGTGCCCCTCTACGGTAGATGCTGGACCCTGGACGACGCCTCCAAGACAGACTACTACTCACCAGCCAGCCAACCAGGAGAGGCTGGACCCTGGACTGAGGAACCGGGCATGTGGGGATACAACGAGGTACTCTTGTCACACCAACTCTTTTCTTTTTATCATAATAACAATATTATTCCCCGCCAAGTAATAAAAACAATCGGTGTTTCCCTCCTCAATTTTAGGACCTAAATATCCACTTTGTTGTCTAGCCTAAAGTACTGTATTTACAGTTGGATGTCTAGGGATGGTTTACTCCTCAAAGAATCCTGGCACCAGTAAAATTAAATAATCATTTTCATACGGTTGCGTAAAATTTTGTGTCATATTTATCTGCACTGCTGTGCATATTTGACTCTTATATTGTTACATTTATTCAAAACGGCCACATCACACCAAAACGCAATCTTAACCTCCCTTGAAGAAGAAACATGTTCGTAAGGACAAGCAAAATCAAGCTGGTCACCTCTTGTTTGTTTGTTTTTCAGATCTGCTACGCGCAGACGACGCACCCCGACCAGTGGACCATCAAGACAGCGCCAGGCATGAACGAACCTTACGCCTACCGTGGTAGGCTGTGGTGCTCCTACGAGAACCACACCTCCGTCGCTATTAAGGTAAACTCACCATTTAACTTGTGTATATCAAGAAAAGGCTTATCAATGAAGATAAAACTATATTTTTATATTCCATAGAGTATCTACGCCTATATAGTAGCAAAATATTCTGGTTTTATCAGTAATTAATTGTCATACGCAGGCTAGCTACGCCAAGGAACACAACCTGGCAGGCATGATGGTGTGGAGTATCGACACTGACGACTTCCGCGGCGACTGTAACGCTCGTCCTTATGACCTCATCAAGACCATGGTGGAGACCTTCTCTGGCGGTATCATCACCGTTCCCCCTCCACCTCCCACCACCACCAGGGTAAGCTACTCTCTACCCATTCAATATGAGACCCTCTCACTCGACCTAATTCATACCATGTAACCCTCTCAACCTCTCTGCTGTGTGGATCAGCACCAATTCTCTTTTGGGCAACAAAACAGATTTGGCAACAATATTCGGTTCATTAGTATCTCTTTTGTTTAACTTTGACTATTACAGTAATATATGTGTGTGTGTGTTGTGAGACAATTATGTAATTATGTCGACCTGAAGAGCATAACTCTATTCTGAACCACTTTGACTGACATAGAATGTGTCTGGTAGTAAATTTTATATTTCGTATTAGTTTTAACACTAAAGATATGGACTTTGTCGTACAGGACCCGAGCGCACCGACTGAGCCCACCACGAGCACCACCACCACTACTACCACCACCGTTAAGCCGCCTCCTGACGATGTGTGCACTGAGCCCGGTAACAACGCTGACCCCAATGACTGTACCCACTACTATGAGTGTGCTCCGGTCAGTGCCTTCCTCTGTGTATCTTTGGATTTCTTGTAGAATTGTTAAAATTCATAAACTAAACATTTTAACAACCAGACGTGGCGCCACCATCTAGTAGACCCTTAACTTGTTCCAAATATTCCCTGCAATATCCCGTTAGATTCCTACATATAAAAATTTTGTGCCAACTGAACTCAAACTCCTGAAATTCTTAGTGGCATGAAGTTTACTTTCATGTTTATCTGTTCATCACTTTATATTTGTTTATTTTCTTAACTTCATTGCCTCATTTCCTCAAAGCATTCTCAGGTGTGTACAACCCCTCACACTTCCTCGTACTAACACTAAGGTTATTCACACACAATTCCTTATACTATCCTCCCACCAAACACTGTATCATATTCATATCACTTACAGCAATAACTACGAGGAAATTCATTAGTGCAGATATAGTGCTGGCAGTGTCAGTTAATGTTATGTTTATTTTTGACAGAATGGGTCAGGGGGATATGATGCTACGGAAGAGAAGTGTCCCGCCGGCACTCTCTTCTCCCCCACCAACCACCTCTGTGACTGGGCCAAGACTGTGTGTGCAGAAGGAAATGTCTGCGTCAATGACTGCGCCTAATACACCAACACTACCATCGGGTCACAAGCACTAACTGACTGAACCTCTACAGGATCAAACAGGCACAAGTGTAACTGATGATTTGTTTTGAAAGAAATAAAACAAATTACGATTAAATTGTATTTTACTGCGATGCCTTAACCGACCATAATCATACAAAAGATAAATTACCTACGATGTCCGAGAATATTTAACGACGATAATTGAAGGACACAAAGTTCTCATTTTAAGTAAGTCTTGAAACATACTTTATGGTCGGCTGTGGTGTTGGAACATATGGCTGCATAACACAGTACAACTACTAATTAATATTTTAACTTAACACATTCTTTATAACACATTTACACGTTATAATCAGTATAGCAGCCAAAACTTGTGACTGATAATTCAGTGGTTTATTTGTCTGTGTACAACGCTAAGATATTTATGTCATTATACCCCAGCCAGTCGGGGCAATAGACCAAGAGCCCAGGCTTTATTGGGTACAACGAGGTAAGAGTGCATAGCGTTATAAGATAAGATAATACAGGTTGTTGTATGTCGGTGTACTTGTACAGTCTCGTACAAGATTCTTCGAACACTGATGGAGACACCTGGCAACTAAAGGCCGTATTTTTTACCATAGTAAGTAGTAAAAATTATGAATGAATGTAAAAGGTTATCGGTGATTGTTTACTTAGTTCACTGTTGCTTAATTATTGGTTGGGCTTTGTTCTTTCGTATTATATTATATTACGTGCTTTAGTAAACAAACGGCCTTGAGTTGCCATCTGTCTCCTGCAGTGTCCGAAGAATCTTGAATGAGACTGTACATGTGGCAAAAAATTATTACGACTTCTTAAGATTTATTGAATGGCATATAAATGAAACACGAAGTAATTTGAAACACCTAACGTGACTTGTATTTGTGTTGATAGCCCTATGTTAAAATTACTAATGGCTGCTTAGAATTCTTTATTAGTTTCGTATACCCTTTTTGCTGTCTCCATCGCACCTGAGTACATGACACATTCTTCTTTACCATATTAACTTTTGATGGATTAATGTAATTACTAACCTTGTTATACGCTTAAACACCTTAACGACATTAAATTGTCAATGACAGCGAATGATATCATTGATGTTACTCCGGCCAATGATATTGCTTATTCAGTTTTCACTTCCTAAATGGTATCACCTGAAGATTAGGCACCCACACTTATTTCACCTGATGATTAAACACCTCTTGTCGGTTAGTTTAGGTTAGGTTAGGGTAGCACTAGGTTATGTTAACGTTAGGGGGTTTAATCATCAAGTGAAATAAGTGTGGGTGCCTAATCATCAGGTGGTCCCCTAATTGATATTAAGTATAGGATATACTCAAAGTGCTGTCTGTGATTCTCTGACATACTCTCGTCACCACACAGGCCAAGTTGGCGGGCTTATGACTTGGAGCATTGCGATGACGACTTCCATGGCTACTGCCACCATCGGCCTTTCGACCTTATTATGACTATGGCGGCGACAACCCCACCCACCCTCAGTCGTGGAGTGACCACAAAAGGGGAAAGACGTACCCATAGGTTCTCTTGACTTCCTGATCGTCCCATAAAGGTCCCCTCAGAACCGACTCCCTTCAGCCGGCAAGGTTTTGCCCGTATGGGGGGTCGACGTAAACGCCCCAGACATCCTTGATACGGATGCCATTGCCAACTCGTCTGGTCATACTGAATCCAACACCCTTCAAGATTCAGACCCCAGTGATTGTGACAGTGACGATAATGTTTCTATGGGAAACTCTAGCCGGAGTGGAAACACCAATGCCACGGACCCTATCACCCTGCCCTCTGCCAATCAGCCAATTAAGCTGAATCTACACTTCCCCAAGGACTCACTGAAAACCGTCGAGGAATGGTTTAATTGGATGAAGAAGTTCTGTAGACAACATGGTCTCAACATTCAATTCCGAAAAGGTAGGAACCGGAACTTTATCAAGTGTCAGACTCCTGAGGTCTATGAAACACTTATTACTGTTGGCTTTGACGGGGTTGTCCTGGTGTCCCCCCCCCAGAATATTCTGATGAATGTTGCCACATCCAAGTGAAACCATTCCCCCTATACGCTGATGTCGAAGATGCTCGTGACTTTAATTATAGTACTGTATACTCAGTATACATCGACCTTACCGGGGGAAGATGCCACAAGCTGCTGTCATTGTCAAGTAAGTGGAAGGGAGTGGCCAACCACTGTGGAGTCCCACCCAGTCCTCCCTTCACTTTATGCAGAACCCTATCACCCTGGACCTGCTTTATGTGTTATCCGTTTTCATTGGGGTCACACATTCACTGCCTGCTGCTGACGTGATCATCCCAGATGTCGCTTCTGTTCACGTAACCATAACTCCGCCGCCTGTGCCCAAAAAATCAAAGACCACCTTAATAGGGGTGGTGTGGGCTATGTAGATGACCCCAGGTGCTGTAACTGTGGCGGTCGGCACAATGCTGACTCACGGCAATGCCCCAATAATCCGTCTGTCCAAGGGGAAAAGCCTCCCCGAAGGCCGCGTCTACCACAACGCCCCCAACCTCCCCGTCTACCGGGCCGCCTCCCTCTGCGTCCCCTCTGTTTCCAGCAATGATTTCCTCTTCAACAACACCTGCCTCCACCTGACCTCGCCAGGCTGCAGCACAACAGCACCTGCCGTTTCCCAACTCGACCACTACTGGGCCTCATCCCCGTCTCTACTCTGACGCTGTCAGGCCTTGTGCTCCCACCGGTGCCCCCTCCCCCCGGTGACATGACACAGATCATATCCCTCTTCCAATAATTTACCAATTGTGTTGAAAAACTCTTTGTTACAATCTGTACCACCATCTGTGACCTACACGGCCTACTCTTTCCTTCTGCTGCCACCTACTCACTCCTCCCCTCTGGTTTGACACAAGCTGTTAGTCCACCTGTGAGCCCCCCCCCTGCCCACGGCCTACCCCACCGCCGTCGGCCATCACTACTGGTGTGGCGGCTACTGGGCCTTCCCTCGCGTGTCCTGCTGCCCCCGAGTTAAGTCCTGCCTCATCTCCACAACACGTGATGCCTCAACCTGTCCACCCATCGCAAGCCGCGCCCGCTCCTGTGTCTGTGCTGTCTCCACCAGGGCTTCTTATTGGACCTGAGGACACCACCCCCGGATACCTGTACCCCACCGGCATGCCTGCACCTAAGGCCCACCCTTCCACGTCAGGGGTACACATGTACCCAACCGGCCATCCTGTAAACCAGTCAAATACACCACAATGGATAGCAACGCTACAGGACTGCAGGTACTCACCTGAAACATAAATGGCTTGCAAAACAAGTTTGGTGCCCTCAAAACTTATACCCACACTGAAGACGTCGACGTTCTGTGCCTCCAAGAAACGCGGTGTGCTGCTGGTACCTATATGTTCAGTGGCTACACATGTGTTGAGAGCCCATCCACCCCTGTTCCCCGCGTCGATGAACCACCACGAGAACGTGCACGTGGACTACGTATCTACGTCAAGAAGGATGTCCCCTACCAACCTCTCGACGCCCCCTTTGATGACGACACCACCGACTCACAGGCCATCACAATCACACTAAAAGGTATGTCCCTCAATATTGTCAATGCCTATGTGCCTCTCTCCACCTCTACTGTACCTGTCCTACCACACCATATCACCTCCACCCCCACCCCCCCTTGTGGGGGACCTCAACGCCAGGCACCCCAGTCTCTGCTCCCAGGGGCCCCACTCAAACTTCCGGAGTAACTCCTGACCCTGTACGTCTCCTCTGCCCTCCCTCACCCACCCACATCGGGGAGGGAAACTTGACTACATCGCTCTCTACTCTGACCCTCACTGCCCACACTCCACCTGCATCCTCCACTCCCCTCACAGTTACCAACACCTCTTCCCTCCCTGACCAGATATCCCTCCTCCTAGAGACAGGCACGTGACATCATTAGGGACCTGCTACGCTTTGCCATAAACAGATGAATTGTACCGGGAATTTTACCCCCACACATTTATCATTCTGTCACTTTATGTAACTTGCTGACAAAACCCATGACCCTTCAGCCTTCTACGCCCTTAATGCATGAGTCATGAAGGCAAGCTGAACTATGCATGCTTCCCAGATGGGAGCTGTAAACGCTTTTGCGCTTCACCTTGTACAGGATGTAAGGGGGTGCCCAATAAACTAGCCCCAGTGCGGGGGCAATAAACAAAATAAATCCCAGCCACCTACCCTGCCCACCTGGTGAGTCATCTACCCTCCTTGCCCACCACTACCCACACAGACTTTAATAACCTATGTTTTCTCCACCACCACTCCTCAGTATAATAGTACAACTTTTTTTCATCCTCACGCTCCATGTTTCTTTACACCATTTACTTCCTCCTCCTCTCATATTTATACATCTCATTACTCTTTCTCCCTCATACTGAACCTTCCACATACTCAAAGGATCGTAGTTATATATTGTGACTTATTTGCTTGCTTCCTCCCTTCCCCCAGGACCCAGATAAACCCACAACAGCCTCTACGACCACCGCGCCACCCGAAGGCCGCTGCCAGAACCCCGGCATCAACCCTGACCCTGGCAGCGTACTTAATATGGGAAGAACAAATACTGACAATGTATACAGCCTTAACAATATCAACCTAGAGAAGTCGACTTGTGAAAGAGACCTAGGGGTACTTGTAAGCCCGGACCTACGGCCTAGAAAACAGTGCGTTAATGATCGAAATAAGGCAAACAGAGTAATGGGTTTTATATCTAGAAGTGTAAGTAACAAGAGTGCAGAGGTCTTATTGCAACTATATCTTGCGCTAGTCAGGCCGCACCTCGATTATGCGGTTCAGTTCTGGTGCCCCTATTATAGAATGGATATAAATTCACTAGAGTCGGTGCAGCGAATGACAAAAATGATTCCGGGACTTAGAAACCTTCCATATCAGGAAAGGTTAAAGAAACTTAACTTGCATTCCCTAGAAAGGCGAAGAGTGCGGGGTAGGGTGACAATAGTGCATAGGGGTGAATTTCTAAAATTGATTAAATGGAATGGCCATTGGTCCAATACTGCGTACCCATGAAAAAAGAACACAGGCGAAATCCT